AATTAAACAGTACATAAAATAGAACAATATTTCATGATAAAACATGTCAAGATAAATACCTTAATTATATACTAAATCATCTATATGGACACTTCCAACGGTACTACTAAACGAAATACTGTGGAGGATTATAACCTTAATACATGTTATAAGATATTTTATATATATGCGTATTATCAAGACAGATTCCATGTACACACAAATCCATTACCAGCCTGAACTTCCATTACGCGACATTTAATACTCTTAAACTATAGGAACCTACACATACTGTAGTATTTTATTTTGCCACACTTTTGCAAGAAAAGCAACTTAATAATTGTTTAAAAAGGGCATTGTTCTAGATTTCTTAAACTATATACAATTTTGAATCACCTGATACTGCAAGCAATTTCATGTTGGATGTGAAATCACACTTTTGTCTTTTAAATATAGTATTTAATTACTTTGTTCTTCAAAAAAGTAGACAAAAACACACAAACTGAAAATGTTTATGAGACTGAATTTGCTTTTTGTGATAAACTTATTAATGTGAAAGAAATGATAACGATTAGGACAAATCTTCAGTATTTTATCATTTTGTAGCCATCATTGCAAACGGAATATACTTATATATAAAATTTAATTTGTATAGAGTTTCTGTGGGAGAATTCAAATTATAAGCACTTTTTCATTTTTAAAGAATTATTTGTATGATGTAATGCATTATATATGTATGATAGTAGATACGAGAAATGATGTCTGTTAAACTTAATGACATGCTTGTTATATTTAATCTTTCTTTAGGATAAATGAATAAGATTCTTTTGAAATTGTTAATTCCAAACATACAGATACAAAAACGATTCCTTTGAAATCCAATAGCTTCTACTTGTTAATATCAAGAAATTTACATACAACGTAATCTAACAACAAGTTTGTTATTTGGCAAAAAGACCCACATTTTTTTAAGGACACTCGTCCAAGTAAATGATACTACCCTGCTATTCAGGTCATAAAAGATCATAAGCTCATTAAGTATACTTTATATTTTAATTAAAATCAATAAATACAAAATGTCGACAATATAGTAGCATTTATAAATGTCTGCCGTTTATGTCTTGTAAAAAACAATCAAGCCATTGCAAAATCTTTTAAGTTTATTTTTCAAATCTAACTTTGAATGTCCCTTTATTATTTTGTAAGCAAATATTCATGTCTTTAAATTAGAAAAATGTTGTTACTTTCACAGCATATGAGAAGTAATTTCTGTTTCAAGTGCGTTTCTTTCAAGTTTTAATATGTTTTCGATGTTTTATTCGGTTCGTTAGTATTTTGGATAGAAATATGACTAATGGCAAATGGAATAGAGAGAAATAAAGAATCCCTAAAGAACGCACAAAACGACAAGATTGAAAGATTTTTGAACGCTTTGATTGGGCTTACTCATGAACGATATTTTGGGCCTATTCATGAACGATAATGGAAAGTACAAGCTACCGTTCACGCCCCCTAGCACCGGCTTAAGCAGTATTCAACATTTAACATGAAATGGCAATATTTGGAATTTTAAACATCCGCAGATGTATTCATACGGTGGTTATCTTTGAGCCTTCAATGTGACAATAAGTGTCATTCCATGAAAAGCGGCATATGGTCCCCAAGTAAAAGAATGCGTGTTCCCTTAACGAGAAAATGAAAGACTTTTTTAACTGTTTGATATTTTTTCTTTAAAACAAACAGCGCTTATCTGTGTACAAAATGACTGTTTTATTATTTCTTTTCCTTTGTTTAAAAGGAATCACATGATTGTTTTGGGCGTTTTTTGCAGAATTTGTTTACGAAATGCCCTCTTACACACATCCTGTTCAAATGATATGTTATTAACAATACAAGGAACGCAATTTTTCAATTCGAAAGGGATAGGACGTAAAAATACATATACTGTTAATAATTTTTTGAATCATAGTGTGCACTTCTGCAACATCTGTGATTGTGGTATACCGTTTCTTTTTGTTGCATCCATGTATCTTTTCCAGTTTCTAACTTTTTAGTTGTTTTTATTTTACCATATTTGGAATTTTAATGTAGCATCTAAATTTAGATTTTAATGTAGTTTACAACTTTTATATCAGAATCGGGCTATTTCTATTTATACCGATTTCAGGAAGATATTTATACAATTACGTATGCGATTCTATTAACAATGTTATTTATTGCCATTTGCATCGCATGTAAACCTTTTATCTCTAAGTGAAATTGCCTTACCTTTAAGATAATGTGAACAAATAGATTACTGATTATAACTAATTTTGCCTGTGGATAGATCTCTTCCAACAATAGTCTGCACCCTTACGCTTGATAATGACGATGTTTTTGCAATATACATTGCTTTTTGAGAAAATGTAGAATTTTTACGCCTAATGAAATAATCAAAATATTTCTAGCTCGACTTTTTCGAAGAAAATATTAATGTAGATTGTCATTTCTTTACCCATTACCGTTGTCGTCAAGAAACTGTAACTTTGGTTATTTCTTTTAAATTCTAAATGGACTGTCTTCGATTTTGGACACAACATTCCTTTGGACAAGACTTTCAAGTAGACCAGCCTTGACTCATAAATGACTTTAACCTGAAAGGTCAAATGTGGTTGAATTTTGCTATAATTTGCTTTAACTTTGTTATTCTATGAATGCATTGTCTTCATGCTTAAACACGGTCACAAAGCTTTGATTAGACTAAATTGATTATGACTTTCAAACATCAATGGACTTGCCTTGGAGGTCAAATTAATTAATTTTGCTTGATTTTTGCTTTACTTTGGATATAATTTCGTTGTTTACGAATACAAAAACAAATACATTGTCTCCTAAAGAAGACCAAATTCAATTTGATCTTGACTCATAAATTATCTTGACCTTAAGGTCAAATTATTTCAGTTTTAGTTTTTAGCTGTTAATGCCTTTTTGTAAATAATGAATGGACAAGTTTGCTATTTATTTACAGATTTGATCCATACTTGTTTATTTATGAAATATTTGGACAAACGAACACTTATGACAGTACTGACATGGTGATTTATTCAAATGCCCTTGACTCTGATGGTCAAGGTTAAACATTAAATTTGAGGGTTTTTTTGTTTTTTTTTTGTTTTTTTTGGTCAAGAAAATCATGTTTTATAGGAGTATTCTTTACAAAAATATTCTCATTCCGATGCGTTTAACTTTAGAAAAAAGAAAAAGGCGAGTGTATCCACTGCTTGGCGGTGGCTCTTGTTTAATTGGGATTTACGTTGTACCAACACAGTACATGTTAAATGGCCAGGTTTCTATCATTAAATGTTTAAGTATAAGATGTGGTCTAGAGTTTTAAAATTATCTTTGGGTTAAGAAATGCAAAATTAGCAGTAATCACCATGTTCTGTTTTTTGTTCTATATTAAAGTCCTCAAGGACAAAATTTCTGTTATGTTAGTGATAGATAACAGACGAAAATATTTGAAACTGTTAAATAGATTAAAGGGACCTACATTGCTTTTGTGCAAAATGACCTAAAATTGCAAACGTTTCTTTTTAAAGCTTTAACTGAAATCGGACAAAGACTTGCACGTATTTTAGTTCATTTCTGAATATATCTCTATATAACTTTTGCATAATTTTCATTTTTAAGTGTCCGCTTGATTTATGTAACGTTTTCAAATTTTATGTTTTAAAAGCCTCTTGGCCATAGTGGAGCCACATGTCCTTTAAATAAACCAATATTCATGTGTCAATTACCATGAAGACCATGTTTTATTATTCTGGCCAAAACTGACTGGAGAACAAGTTTAAAAATTCAAAAAGAGATTAAATTGTGTAATAAACCGCGAGAAGACGCCAAATAAAATATAGAAACAGCATTCATAAAATTATGTTCAATATCGCTTCATTAACTTGTTTCTTTTGCAACATGGAAATTAAGGAACCCTCAAGACACTCATGATACAAACAAAACAGTATTTTAAGCATACACACCTAAGTGGCATTCAAAATTGGAAATTGGAAACTTGTGAAAAAAAAAATACAGCCACTGATTTGAAATTACACATTATAATTTATCGCAAATTTTACGCATTAATGCTTTTATCTCACCATCCATACTTAAACTGTGAGGGTAAATAAAATATATTTAATCATTACATAAGGGATATAATTTAGACAGTTTACGTGTACGTCTACTCTAGTAAGAGAATATTTCGTTGCTAGCATTATAACTCTTTGAAACAAATAAAAATCTGGTCGTTACCATTTATCAAAATGTTATCAAACATCAAGTGAATGGATGTGCGTAAATCTTGCATTTTGAATGTGAGCTACATTTTAGCCTAAATAGATTATTTATATCAGACATAATAAAACTAGGATGATTTTCTTTTACCTAAAAGGGTTTGATATCTCTTTAACTTTATTTACAGTAAAAAAACAGGGATCATTTTTGTATACATTTATTCACATATATTTTTTGTTAATAAATATGTTTTTAGCAATATCAAATAAAATAGAGTAATAGATTGGGTATTAAAATATCAAAATGTCAAATTGTTATACCTTGATGGAACGCAGCAAATCACATTTTACAAGTTAATGTTAACTTGCCAAAATATATCAGTACAAAAGTTTTAAACAAAATCAAAGAGGAGTGGAATATAGTCTAAATATATCTAATTAAATGACACCAATATGACTGATAGTTAGTGATCGACAAGAACATGAAAACTTAAAAAAGCCAATGCCGGATCTAATGACGTTTTCGAGAAGAACTTCTTTATTTATCTACATTTGCGTTTTGCAAGTTCCTTTAATTATCTGCAGACAGTCAGTTAGAGCTGAAGCGGGTCATCATTTCCTGTCTACTTTTTAACATAAACTAGCTCAATGTACTCCGAAAGATAAACCCTAAATCTAGGGTAACGGGTACATTTCGGTCCAAATATGATATCAGGTATGTAGGTATATCTTTGTTGACAACACAAACTAAACCAGTATATATAAGAAATGAAGAGATAATGTCGTAACATTCGACGACAAGCAAAGAATGTAGACTGAGAATACTAGTATATTATACAACTAATGCACTGAAATCTCAGGATATATTTTTCTATTTATAAAACAATATAAATTTATTGCTCAATATAAGTCAATCTCTACATGACAACTTACATAAACAAGAATATAGGATGTAATACAGTTTTTTAAAGAAATGGATATTCATACCGGTATTGTGGAGAATGGAGACAAAAATAATGACAAACGTGTGAAGTCCGTAGCAAAAAGAGGAGACTTTAGTAATAAAATGGCAATGAATCATTTTGACGATGCTAAAACAAACTCTAATTTCCAGAGTGGCAATAAAAAGTTACACTCGTCGCAGCAAGAAGGGTTATGTCATCAATATAAGGCGCATATACCGACTGCAAGAAAATATTGTTTGATATTACTGTATTTAGCATATTATTGTTATGCAATGTACTGCAATTTTGGTGACGAATCTTCTATACGGCTAACAGTTTTTACCGGTTTTGGGGTCATGTTTCTAGGTTGGAACAAATTGTTGTCATATAAAAAGATACGAAACTTACAAAAGGCTGTTACTTCATCGATCTACCTGTCGTTTAAGTATGGTTCCAGACCAAAGGTTATTCGATGGTATGTTATTTAATGTAGATTAAGCATGTGAAATAAAATGTGTAGAAGTTAAGAAGTAAGAACAAAACATGAAGTTTATATGTATTCCAAAGGTCTACTCCTGTATATATTCTTACATTTTTCAGGGCGGCATATTCTATATACATTGTATTTAATTTACCAATATCTGATTATTCTGTTTTTATTTCCAATAAATATAAGCAAGGTTTCGAATTGGAATTCTACAAACTAACACATGATTTGTTATCTTGGGCTGTATGTCATGATTGATAGAATTGATGGATGAAGATTACAAAGCATTTGATACTAATAAATGACTAATGTTTAGCATATTTAACAAGAACTTCTCTGAGGTGGGCATTATACGCCTTATGGCAAATTTACAAGAAGGTATCATGGACAAAAATATGTCTTTAAACAAGACAGCAAATTTATTGTTGTAAATGGCTCAGGTGATCAAATTTCCATCAAATGTAAAAAATGGTCCATTATTTTTACTTGATAACAAACTGTAATATAAGTAATATAAAATTATTGATTTCAATTTAAAAGAAATCATATTAAATCAAGGTTGTAGTTAGTTGATGGAAGGGAAAAATAAATGTTGACCTGTGTTTTGATAACATACTTGTATGCAAAATATAAACGCAATCACTAAAATCCTTTAAATGGTATGATGCTAGAACAGTTCCGTGAAATCTTTTAAAAGTTATTCTGTAAAAACCAAACATATCACAGAAAATATGAGGAAAATGGGGTATAACTCTCCCAATAATAAGATTAAAACACAGAATCGACTTTTTGATATAACATACTCACATGTCAAATATAAACGCAATAACTAAAATCCTTTAAAAGGTATGATGCTAAAACACATACGGACGGACGCATACCTCAATACGTCCCGAAAGTCTTCAGGCGTATAGAAAGGGTAAAGACATTAATACATTCTCTTTGATTTTATTTTCATTGAACTATTATATCCTATGTTGATGAATACATTTATAGCAAACAAACAAATTTGTACAAACGAATGATAAACTGCATTTCATATGCATTTCTCGATCAGAGCATCTAGATATACAATCATTTGCTATATCCTCAAATTACAAGCGCATTTACTTAGTAAATATACTATGTCAACGATATCATTATATCCAATAAACTATGAGATAGCATCATTCTTATACATTATATACTTGTATAATATTCCAATATAATTAAAACTAAAAATGTTATATTTACAGGACTCTATATTTTATATGGACAGCACTTGCAGTGTACTACCTTGTAGTCAATGTTGCTTTAAAGAATCCAAGAAAGTTGCGAGCCCTTGGAGGCTATGTTGTGTTCATTCTATTACTCCTTCTGCTCTCAAACAACAAAAAGAAGGTTAGAACATGTATTTTTCCGAGAGAATTGATAGTTTAAGGACATGCTCACTGTCACTACTTAATAACTGGCATACTTATATTTTACTAAGATCAATGTAACCTATTCTTTTTTATTATTTGCATTTTGCTGATTACATTTTTAGACATGGTATAGGTGGCAGCATACAATTTTAAAAAAGATTGTCGTTGTTGTTGTTTCGTATATTGCAGATCAATTGGCACTGTGTGTTTTGGGGATCAGCATTGCAGTGTATATTAGGTTATTTTGTCATCAAATCAAACGCGGGTATGTAAATATCAATCATAATTGACTCAATGAAAAAACAAATCGTTCTTTAACTAAAACGAATAGTCATACATAGTAGCAAATGTGACCAAATTTATGCACATACTTATCATATAAAAAACTAAACTTAAGATATATGCATTATACTACTCAATCGAAATCGAGTCTTGAATTTATACATTTTTATATTTGCTTTCATTGCGCATGAAAAATATCCTTTCTCGTCAGAATTGCATCTTTTTTAACGATTCCGTGATGTTATCCTGTCCCTGTAATTGTTGTTTGTCGTGTTCAGATATGAGCATATTTCAATGTTCTACAAAAACTGGACGAAAACAATGAAAAATGAACGCATTTCGGCAAGAGTTAAGATATACACATTCAGGAATCCACTTGCATCCACTTGCACACATGCATTCACACAAATTTATAATTAGTAAGCCATTTATTGCCGTACACAGAATATGCCACAAAACACCTTTACATTACTCATTAAAATCCAACCCCATCAATGAGTCAGGTGAATATTGCATGTTTTGTTTAGAGATGTTTTACATCTTTCATAACTTGATTATATTATGTTATTGGATATTGTACATGTTATTGAAATGTTGGTCTTTTAAACGACATTTTAAGTGTTACGGCGTTGATAAGAGTAAACGAGTAAGTCCATTTTATTGTGATCAAAATAATATTTGCGTTATAGGTTCGACCGTCATCATGTGGTTCTCTGACCGACTTGAAGAGTTCATGGAGTATTCTAATGTTGGGGCAAAATTTGTCTTCGGTGATTCGTATTTAACGCATCGCTTTGCAATGCAGGTATGCCTAAAACACAGTTAATTTGTATCACCAATTTATAGAATTTTCACCACAGTTGAATAGTATATATATAAATATGTTTAATGTTATGTGTATAACATGCAATGCATCAAATGTTGAAAAATATTGATAGGATTTTATTAACTTCACGGTTTCATTGAAATACTTACAGGCCATGCCTTCCGTCATAGTGTTTTTCGCAGCCATACAAGTCCTTGTTTACTTAGGAACGATACAGTTCATAGTTCGAACATTGGGGAAATTTATAGCCAATATTCTGGATGTATCTGCTCCTGAGGCTACAAATGCATGTGCAAACATTTTCCTTGGTGGTGTGAGTATTATTAGTATTTTATTACAACATAAGTTTACAGTTTTTAAGAAACTTCGCACACAAGTTTTATCATTAAGGGCATATTGGTTGTTTAAATATTTCCATTTATTACAAGTACTAACATTTTCACAAGGAGCCGAAGAAGTCTACATATTTTCAAATAAACAAACCAAAATAAAACAGAAAATAATTTGTATTTCATGTCTGTTTGACATAGTCACCATATATTGTTTGGTGACTAGTTCTGTTTATAAAGGAATAGATTTTTATTTTAATATTTATTTGTATATAACAATTCAATACATGCTCAAATTACGTAGACTTGCATATTCATGACGGCATTGCTTTTTCAACCTATTTGCAACTTTTTGTGTCCCATTTTTTATTTGTTGTCTACGGTAAGTATCCCTTCACCATCCTTGGATTTCCATTTTAAACCTTATCCTACCCTCCCTGAGCCTCTGGTTCCATTCCCCCTTCCTACTTGTTCCTATCGGCCTTTTTACTGAATATTTTCTTTAGTGATTATTTGTGTTTCCCTAATATTCCTTAATTAAGTTGTTAGCTATAACGGCGTCTTGTCCGTCATTGCTGTGTCCTTGTGGCTGAGTTCCGTGGCGAATGTTCGGAATTGCGGGGGTATTGCGGGGATTTGTCGGGGATTGCGGTCATTGAATGTTCCCGTTCCTTGTTCATTCCTATATTTTCTATAACATTATACCAAAATTAATAAATTGGAAGGACAGATTAACAGAATAAGAACATGGTCTTGATAACGATATCAGTCTCATAAAATTACAGATTGAATCTGCGATACTAGTGGTGGAGTACATTGATGCAATGCCAACATCTCGGCTTTTCACGTTAATTACAAATTGGTTCGCTTCCTGTGGGGGATCAGCTTTGATACAATTTATATCGTTTGGGGTAAGTATGATGTACCAACAAGATCATTTCGTGATATCCCGTAAATATTGATATATGCATAGACTTACACAGATTATTGTTGTAAATGGACCGTTTGTCAATATATTTTGGAAATGGACAAATTTCAGCGTCGTATGGTTAGAACAGCCAACTATTCAAGAGTTGGAAACATCATAAGGTTCTCAAGTGATAGATAGTAAGATGCATTTAAGCGAGCGTTTTAAAAGAAACTTTCCAAATAAAAGCTTCTGAAAATAAAGTCTTGAACATTGACACAAGCTGTCAGTCGCAACATATTAATAAGAAATTTCAACTCACATGAATCACACGTGTGCCACTTTAGATATGTGTCAGAAAACTTGATCTTCAAAATTTATTTTTTGCAATATCATAGCATTGGAAGCATCTGAATTCAGATTGCAATGACCTATACACTGTGAGCGTTAGCATATGAAGTATGTGTACATTTATATAAAACGTATCTGGAAGAAGCTTGTGTGTATAATTGTTTTTGAAGATGTTTTAGATTGTGTAACTATTTCATCGGTTATAACTTTCAGGTGCCACCGGTTTATCTTTTAGCAGCATCAGCAATGTCTGCACCTGCTGCTCTTATCTGTGCTAAACTTGTTTACCCTGACACCGATCAAACTGTGTTCGATGAAAGCACGGAAGATGTTGTTCTTTAAGTAGTGACAAATCAAAATCTTACAGATGAAGCTTATTCAAACGCTAGTTTTGTAACTGACACTGACATCAGCTTTGTGGCCGAACCAGTTAACAGTACAGAACAAACAAAAGCACAAAAGCACACTAAGGAAACACAGACTGATGATATTGATGGCAGTAAACAGAAAAGGGATATGAAGCGAAAGTTGTGAGTACAATATATATTATCCGAGCGATACAATGCACCACTACTTACAACCATAATTCTTAGACCGGCTAAAAAGTTATCTTATGTCGAAAAAAAATATATTGGCTATTGTTGTTTATATGTTAATTTATTAATCAAAAAGTGGCAACATTGAATGAACATTGTTCAAAATTGTTATAAGCAAATAATCGTTATTGTTTTATTAAACTTAATGGAAGATGTTAGTTACAACCATGTGCAAATGTCTGACATTTTGATTTTTACCTGCCCGACATGACTTTATTAATACAAAGATTTTTTGTGAGTGTTTTTTTTAAAAAAAATGTTAAAATTTTATGTTGTTTTTGTAATAACAGACCCGAGCCTAAAAATATCGGCGAAGCATTAGTAGTAGGTACTAAGCAAGGAAGCAGGTTGGTCGTAAATATCATAGGAAACATGATTGTGGCATTATCAGCGGTGGAATTTGCTGATAAGACTGTTGAATGGTTTGGAAATAGAGTTAATATTCATATAAGTTTAAAGGTATCTTTTATTTTTTATTCAGTTATCCCTTACAAAAGCTAGACATATGAACGAAACAGCTTAAAGTTACACTTTATCATCTTAATAATAATATGATTTTAATGAGCACTATTTATTTAATTCACATTAATGTCAATGTTTCAATGTAAGGAAATGGTAACATAAACCAATCTTACATATATAGTATATATAAAATCAAGATCGAGGTATCAGTATCGCATTATTTCGATATTCATTTGTTGTCATTTTTAATCAAATGCTTCGTCCTTATACCTGCCGAATTTCCTACATAGACCTGTCAAGCTTCCATTTTCAGAACAGTTTGTTATCATCTTAAGAGGTATTATTATTAAAATAAAATGAAATTGGTAAGAAAACAGTATAAGCCTTGACTGGCTCTATACTGGTAGCAAAGAATTCCAGCAGAAAAATAAGGATTGAAAAAAGGAAAAAAGACAAATTCATTCTTATTCTTTTAGATTGCTCTGTCTTATGTGTTTTATCCACTTGTGTATATCATGGGAGTTGATGTTGAAGATTGTCTCCGAGCAGGAGAAATGTTGGGCATTCGTTCTATATCTCTGGCTGGTATATCATATCAACAGCTAGGAAAACTAATAGAAAACAGGAAGACATTGAATGACTACATGACGGCATTTAATGAGACAATCACCTTCAACAGAGATAGTGATATCTTCTTGCAAAATTGGAACAAAACGCTTAGTGGTGGTGTTTTTTCGGTATGTGGGTTATATTTATACCAACTGTATAAAAATTATAAAAACTCAAATGTTCTTACAATATATTTATGTTAACTAAAACACTCGAAAAATCAAAGTACAGAAGGCGCTGAATTTGTTTGGGTCTCAGAATGTCAGAAATGTAAAGGTTATGAGATTATAAACCAGTTTGTTTTGTATAGTGCCACCAATTCTGTTTCCATTGTTATAACTGTAGTAAATTGGATATAAGGCTAATTGCAACACTGATATTCAGTTCAATGTTTATTTGGCTTAAACAATATAAAAAAGTTGCCTTAACAGAAATTTGAACTCCAGACCTCTCGCTTTCAAAACGAGCGTGTAACCCTCGACCACGGGGAAGTTATAAGATAATTAACAGTCTGAATAAAACAATATTATTTTAAATTAGGGTTTGTAACCAGATATTTTGTTCACGGCAAACCTGTTGTTTAAATCATGGAGCTTCATATAAGCATGTATATATGTAAAGAATTACACAAAATTAGAAATAATCGACCAAAATATGTTTTCTTCCGCTCGAAAGCTTGAAAATTAATGCGCCTGTTATTTGACAAACTTTACGCAGTGATCTCCGCCTAATTTTTCGGCGTTAGTGTACTTATAAAGGGAAGTAACCGCTTCGTTGAGTTCGGACTACTTCCGGTTTTTGCAAATAAGCATATCAGGGTCTGAAATTTCGCTACCATTATTTGTTTGGTCTGATGACTCAAACAAATAAAAACCACCCTGGAACCTAACTTTTAAGTATTTTATTTAAGCCATGTATATATCATTTTGAACGTGACAGTTGAAACTATTTGTATTTGTACTTGAATAAGGTTCATAACAACATGTGAATTTAAAGTGTCTATTTTCATTTCAAATCCCAATGGAATATACTTGTTTCGCAATAATATGTTTAAACTATGAAATCAACATTTATAAAGCACATTTGAACAAAATCATGACTAAATAAAAGCATAGAAGAAATAAGAATAAACAAATTGCTTTATTGTGATATAACCACTGTCAGCTTGCATTTGTTATTATATAATTTCTTTGCCATTAGTAAACTTTTTAAACTTAATTACATTTTAGGAGAGTTCAGAACTGGTCGTGTCGTACGCTCTCTGTGGGTTCGCTTCTGTTCCAATGATTGGTATGACAATTGGCGCACTTGTCGTCATCATACCAGACAGACAACAGGAAGTGACGAAACTAGCGTTCAGAGCGCTTATAGCCGGAACTGTTGCAAGCTATCTCACGGCTTGTGTTGCTGGTAATATTCTATATAATGAGAATTTACATCTTGAGTTTACTTTTATTCATTTGTATTTTGGAAATCCATTTTTTAAGTTCTTATGACAGATTGACAGAAACTTTCGAAAAGAGATAGAAAGTTTCTGAATAAAATTGTTATTTTTTTGTTCGATCATTTGATTGATATTTGATAATCATTTGAAATTTTAAAACATATAAATTTGGAGTAGTGTTTAAACTAAACATCAACATTAAAATTAAATAATATTGTTATTTTGCATTCTTTGTAAGTTTGCCTTAAGACTGGGGTACTTGTTTGCTGATTAATGGTGTACATTTTTAAACAGTATTATTTTATGTTTCCGTTTTAGGTCTGGTGTCATAGAATCACTTAACGCATTATGTGTTGCTGAGCAGGTGATATGGCTTCGACATAATTTCTTCGGACTAGATAGTAAACAGTGAAAAAGAAATCTTAGCAAGAATAATAACATATTCTTGTTTGAATCCTAAAGGATATGCGACCTCACATTAAATTTGGGTCAGACAATATATTACATTTGCACCTGCTCGATATACATGTTTAGCTCTATTTTATTCGCATTAATCAGATTTTACTTTGGTATATAATACACATAAACTAAAAGTAAATATATATGCCTTAAATTTTATTCTGTTTGTTTATTACTAAAAACCTAAAAGAAGCCGAAGACAAGTATTGCAATGCGAAAGAGTGTAACAATTGTGAAACAATTTGTATGTATAATAAGGAAATTAGGTTATTAATATTTTATTGGTTTCTTATATATATACTTTTAGGTACTTGAGAGCCAAATGATACAATATTCTGCATGAATCGGTAGATATAAATTAATCATTTGTTCCATTCTTTCATGACGCCATAACTACAATAAAAATGGCATAATGTCTTATGTAAACCAGAGAATGTACCATCAAAAATCTTTATAAAGCTTTGAAATTGCTCTGTGTTGCTACCAATTTTGACTTCAATTTAAAATCACAATAAATTCAGGCTTTGGTCGATTATTTGCGGTAATTCAATTTCTTACGTTGAAATATTTAGACATAAAAGTAAACGTTATTTAAAAGAAATGCAATTTCTTGAAAATCAGCATTGTTTTATTGCAAAATAAAAGTATTTATTCATCTTAGAAAATGGTAAGATATAAATGAGTACATAATGCAAGTGTCGGCTTACTGATATTCTAATTAAATTGTGAAACATTTAAGTGTTATAGCATTTCAGTGAAAATGCTCCGCTGTGGAAACTGCATTTTATTGCGCTCAAAATTTCGTACGAGGTATTGCGTGATAGCGTGATATATACATGTATATATTGTTCTAAAATAAGTACATATATAAGTATATTCTTTAGAGAAAAACAAACAACAAATAAAATCAACAAATTGTTATTCAGCGTAAAAAAATCAAAATAATGCAAAACTTTTAAGATATCAACCAAAAAATAAGGTACTTGTTGGCATTTAGAGTAATGTTTTCACATAAAATCATTCACACACCATTTAAAAAAAAAAAAGAATTATCATGGTTATTTTTCGTAATTTATACTTAATATACTAGATATAGCTCATATTTCTCAAACGCACAGTCTAGACATTTCTTTTTGGAACCATGCGAAACTTTCCAACTTTTTTCTCGCTTAGAATCCAATATATGATATGTATACCTAGGGCCCTTTTCCACATTTTCTTTTGCAATTATGTTGATAAGAAATAATCACAGATTATACGTAGAATCAACACCTTATATTAACATCATTACTTATCATACATAATAAGTTATTATTGGGCATTGTACCCACTGCTACAATAAGACACCGTCACCTATATTAAAGTAAAATGTTGTAAGAACAAAACTTCAAACCGTTTTGTTATTTCGTGTGCATGCAGTTTCCTTCATGGGCATGGCATTTCTTTTATGAGCCTATCTCCGAATGAAATGTACACGACCTTAATGACTTGCGATATGTACAATATTTCTGCTGCGGTGTAACCGCTTATCATTTATTTGGGTGTACATTTCAAACAAAGGAGGAAATAAATCTGGGAATATTTCAAATTATGATAATATGAGTTATCCCGACTTTACCATGTGAACCTGTTTTCGTTATTTGTTTTATTTGTCTAAATAAGTCATATATTAACATACTTTTGCAAGAGTGCGTATAAAACCTTTATTAAAATACTATATTCATAATTAAAAACTCTCCGTTGCCAGCAAAATAGCAAACATAGAAATATAAATAGAAAAGTAAAACATTCACTCTATTAGTGACTCTATTAATCAAGAGCAAAAGACGTGCACTTTCTGTAATATTAATATTATAATGAATTATAAAAAAGAAGACCAAAAAAAAATGAATTACTAGACTGAGATGAAGTATGGTTAGAAGAAAGTGCACAATTAGTGAAAAATATGAATTTAATAATTTGTTTGCTTCCTTAAATTATAACAGTTATGTGTCACACATTTAAATTTAGCAAAAACAATATAGCAACTTAAAATCTTAGAAAGATGGAAACCCTTTCAATCGCAAATATTTGATAATTTTATTCAGTTGAATTGTAAAGACAAAGGGATGGTCGAATTTACTTTTCAAATTTTAGGTTTGTCATTCGTTCCTGTAGTTGAATAGTTTAAACGCATTTCTTTATTATAAATATTCCACAAATTCCGTACACTGCCGAAACAAGTCTGCAAGATTAGCATTATAAAACAACTTTTATACAAATGTTCTTACATTTATTTCTGCTTATGTTTCTTCTCTTCACCTCCCAGGGAACAGATTCTTTCCTTAATATCGTCCCATTGCAGACAAATTAACTAAAACAATTATGACATCTGTCATATCGTATTTTAATCGTTGTCTTTCAAGGAAAAACTGGTGACATTTAAAAAGCGTAACTCGGACTCTACCATTATCAAATTGTGCAGCATAATTGGGTCTTTTAATGTGCATGGGTTCATCATCTAATTAGGACCTTTAATAGTCTAGAAGCTAAACATGGAAAGTGATGAATTATTTCATTCTTGTTGCCATGGTATTCAAAATAGATGTGAAACAGAATATTGAAAATGATGATTGCAGAAATGCAAAATGCTGGTTTGGTGCTAGTTAGCAAGCAGCATGTTAATGTTGAATTGACTATAAAATTGGATAGGTTATTTGTGATGTTATATTTGTCTAGTCATTCGGATCCTTTAAATCAAATAATGCTTTTTTGGGAGAAATTTCCATCATATTTTATTATCAGGATCAATCATACAGTCAGCACATTTCAACTCTGAGAGTGATGTCCCCTTTTCCATAATTCTATACTCCCAGCAGAAGGTGGTGCGTGTTGTGAGGCAGCTGTAAAATATTCCCAATGTTGTTGTATATTTGGTTTATACAGAATTTCTTTTAGTTGATTGTGTGGGAAGCTATTAGCTTAAAGACACACTTTCGAATCTGTTTCTTGGACCAACCTGTACTGATCAACGAGTGTAAAGTTTCTTGCTTAAGGAAACAACGACTTGCCCCTGACAGGGTTTGAACCCATACGGCTAGTGATCATTAGATTATTAGTCCAACGCGTTAACTACTCGGCCATGCCGCCACTTGTTGTATACTTGTGATATCTAGTTACCTGTTAAGGATTGAATACTGCTTAAAAGCTTGTATTATAGGGTATGAGAGATGTTTCACATCCATCATCTCCCATAAACAGACCCTGCGACTTTCCGCGATCTGTTTTTGTATCTCGAGGGATGTCGCATTCCCAGTTTAATGTTTGGCAATGAGTTTCGTCCGACATACTGAGAGGTAGAGATATACCAAATTGTCATTTTTATTGATAGTTAAAACTGGTTTGCATCCTGCTGAAATTCTTGTCTTCTTAAAGAAACCCAATGCATGTTGGGAGCAATATCACTACAGTATTTTGTTATATCAAGTCAGTTCTTTTTGTACAACACGGAGGGATTTAAGTTTGGCTTTTTGTACGACACTCGGAGTAGCTAGCAACCAGTTTGAAACAAGACTTCTGAAACAAGACTACTTCTTGTATGCAAGTGTACCATATGAGGTGATTGCAGCTAGTTTAACTATTTTGGTAGATACTGGCATACCATAAATGAATATTATCTTGTATAGTCACTTTTAAGTGAGTATTTACAAAGGATTTCATGTAAGGTATTAGCTGATTCTTGACCATTTGAAATCTGTTTCCTGGATTTACCAGTACTGATGCCATGTTCACAATCATTGGACAACAAGACCTTATGTTAATTTGTTTGAAATGCAGACACCTTTACTAATTGGTGTCGAATTGTTTATCCATTTTTTGACACAACCTTGTATTTGGAATGTAAAGAAACAACATAACACATGGTTCTCATTTCAACAAATCATTTACTCCACTGAATGATGCCACATTGAAAAAAAATCAAATGACAGAAAAATAATGATATCATTCATCCTCATCAACAATCATTCTATGACATCTACGTAACCATGGCAACTACGTCCAATGGCTACATCTATACAAAACAAATTTGTGAAAAAAATCTGTACACATTATTTTCTGAATCAATAAAGATTTCTGTACAAAATGCTTTCAAGACAACATGCAAATCGTAAAATCAAAAAAGGAAACTGCCAGATTTCAAATGTAAAGCTGTTATTTTTCTGCAAAGGTGTTCGCCAATTTGAAGTCATTGCCAAAAACTGTTTCTTTTTTATCAGGAGTTAGAAAAAAATGTTCGCTTTCGAAAAAGCAGTTTTATCTAAATCATATTATTATTTTGAAAAATATCAAAGTATTTAATTGTATCTAAAATGGAAAACATTAAGTAAATGAGTTCGAAGTATGAAGTAAATAAGCAACCATTTAATATGTAATAAAGTGTGTCCTTAGGTCTTAATTAAAGAAACAATTTTTGACACTGACTTAACTTTTCTTTGAAAAGCCAGCTTATAAGCTTAATTTATTTAATGCTTAAGATTTCATTTTAGAAAAAAATTTTGTTCACTAATTATGAATGACAAATTCAACACGAACCTATCTAATTTGTTACTTGCATAGAAAAGTAATACATTTACAATAGATTACAAGGTTTAAAATATGTCATTTCATTTTACTTTAAAAAAAAAGATGTATTGCACACAAAGGCAGAATTACTCTTAAAAGGATAATAGTACTTACTTGTGTCAGGTAGTTAGGTTGCTATGGTAACAAATAGGTTGAAAAAAATAACATGACATATTTACATACATAAAAAATCCCCAAAAAGGTAAAAATGCATAAAACTAACTTTCAAGTAAAAAATTCCTTGAAATATTTAAAACATGTATAGTGGTTACAGATTGAAAAAAAAGTTTTAATTTGGAATAAACTCCATTAAAAAGGTATAGTATTAATTTAAGGAGTTACTAAAACAAGATAAATATGGCTAAAATAGTTATATAGAGCTATACATCTGTCTACCTTTGGATTTTCTAGCAAAAAAGGGGCCTGAATTATAACTGATGTCTGTAATGAAAATTAATTTCAATCAAGGTGAATGAAGATAAAAATGTGTCAAATTAAGATATATCTGTTGTCTGAGATGATGAATATATAAATAAATAAATTGATAATTTTATACCAAGTAAAGATTTATTGCTATCCGTATTAACTTAAGTGTCAATTCATTGAAAATTATTGCTTGGAAGACGGATTAAAACAATCAGCAGTGAAAATATTAACTTGCATAATTAAGAAAAAAAGATCAAGCAAATTTAAGCATTAATAATTAACCCAAAACAGAAACAAAGTAGATGGAAGTTTTTCATCTTTGAATATCCATTGCTTGCTTACTTTGTATAATTATGGATCCCTAAATTCATTGTCAATTTCAACTCAAAACCCAGACTTTTTTTATCAATTTTTGTTCAATATTACCCAGATTGTGTTCTGTATATAAACAATTATCCCATACTTTAAGTTATGCAATAGAAAGCCTGAATTGCAAGCTATGTTTATTCAATGTTCCAAGAATATAAGCTAAACAGTTTTGAACAAAGACTAAACGTTTGAAATTTTTATTAACCCAAAGGCAGACTTAGTGAATGAAATGATTAATATGTGTAAGAATTTTTTTGGGAATTAGTTGCAATCATTTTGAGTATTTGTCGTGTATTTTCTAATTTACAAAATGATAAATATCACAGCTTCATTTTGTTCAATCTTACAATGAATACACACAAAGGTTATATATGGGAGTTATGATCTTATAAAAACCTAATCTAACTGTTTTATATATAGCACCGTTTTTTGGTATTCAGTTACTGGTCAAAGCAAAATAATTCAAAGAACTTAAAAACACCAGTTTATACTGTAAGTAATTTTCATTTCTCAAAATAGTAAGCAACTGGGATAAATATATGTAACTTTTTCAGCCTTATTATAAATTTAATATCTAGAAAATAATCTTAATTAACATTATGCTTCATTCTAATTAGCTGTGTTAGTACAACAGACTCCTAACCTTATAAAATTACAGAGCGTGAATAAATATATATCGGAAAAATCTTGAATAAAAAATGTTTTTATCTCTGACAAGTCATTTAAAAAAACATAGAATAATTTCATAATTTATAGGTCCAAAATAAAGTTGTTTTCATATCTTATAATCTGTGATTTCTCCCATTATTGGCTGGTGTTTAAAAGTCCTTATTATATGCATTAAGCTAGGGTTATAGAGTAAGGGATATACAGCCATTAATATAATATTTCTAATTTTACTAAACAGATATCTTTTAGTCACCATGGAAACCAAATTGCCTTCTTTGCATAATAAATACAAGTAATACTTTACATTTAACAACAGTCTTCTAAATATATTGGTATATTAAGTATTTATAAAATAAAAAAAGAAAATAGATTAACTCATTTAAAATTTATAACAATAAACAATGAATAGCCTATGTGCAAATTGCAAAAAAAATGGGAAAAAATATATTATATTTTTTTTTTGTAAAAACTTTAACAGTCTACATATTGGTTATAATTTATATCACTACACCCAACCACAAAAATATAAATTATCAATGCTTCTTGTCCACACTTATTAATTTTCCATGAGGAAAAACACTCAATAATAATTGAATGATTTTTCTACATGCTTGAGTGAATTATTTTTATTTACTCATCCTTAAAAGTCAACTGACTGTAAACAAAATATTGACTGCTCAACTAGTAAGTCATGTGACAGGAAGCACTTACAATTTCATTTTTCTGGTGATAATATGACGACAATAAGTTTTCCACGGAACAAAAGATCAAATTGTTTTACATAGAAATATTTTGCACTGGAGTAAAGGACAACAGGGTTAATTTAGCATATATATATATTATTATTTAATATTTTTCATACTTAGAGAACTGGCACAAATGAAATAAAAAGATTTTTTATAAAAAAATAAGACATAACTAACTCCGGTTGACAACAAAGATGGGGTGAACACAGAAATATGAAATCCATTTTTAAAGAAGTAAAAGAGTTAAAATTATACAAAAGTTTTTAGAATGAACAAAAGAAGCACCATCAATGAAACTAAAAAATAATCAAACAATGATATCAAGCTAAAGAATTAGACCAAATATATACAAATAACAAACTCCCGAGTGAAATGGATTTTTTCCTCAAAACTTAAATGCCTTAAAAATCTGCAAAATGTTAGTAAAAATTTCAGAGCAAAGAATCTAAAAAAAAGTTTCTTGGATAAATATTATTGTTACACTTTAAAAATGCTACCAAGAACAAAACTGTGATAAAAACCATGCTAGTTTAAACAATCTCAATTTCTTTTTCAGCAAAAAGCTTATGTTCATATTTTGAGTATCCAAGATAAGTACAAGGCCTTTCCTGAACACGAATGGTAAGCTATGTACACAAACATTATGAACATACAGCTTCAAGTGATTTCCTCTTAACTTCCCACAGTTTTTGTTCTCGGATTCACACTTTTGTTCTAAAGGTATAGCATTAATTTCTCTTTTTTCTAGCTAAAAACTGAACACATCTTAAATTCCTGATTATTTTTTCTTCTTCTTCTTAAAAATTTCATACAAATTAATAGAAAAAAAAACATAACACGAAAAAACTAAGCAAAAAGAGCAAAACAAAAATAGAAAATGGCAAAATTGATCCCCTTTCCTTAAAGAGTACATGATAGAGTACAACACATGTATACAATACACAGAACAAACAACAATATTCAACCCTTAACGTGGGCTCGTTCCTTTCCAAGATGAAAATTTTTGCATCAAATGCACTTGACAATATCATATACAGATGTTCCAATATCAATATTTATGTTCATATATCTTTGGCACTAACAATAACACATCTTTGTATATCTGATGTACAACTTTATTAAGCAATAATATATTGGTACCTTTCTTATTCCTTGAAATTTCTATGTACAGATTTCATGATAAAATATTCAATCAAGAAATTTGGACCTGGAATTTCTTGATGCTGTTCAGATACAGACTAATTTCTGAAAGTACCATTATATTTATCTAAACATTGGCGTTCATCAAACTACTTACTAATGAAGTATTTCTTTGAATCTTCTCTGTACTAATACAATAGATATACAAGTATGGTTAAAACAAGATATGCTTCAATTCTGTCAAGAATTTAAATACTTTGCCTTCTTCAACTTCCTACAATACATTTTCAGATAATTCTAGTTCTGTACCTTCATGCATTATTTATATATTCATAAAGTGTCCTTCCTTACTGAAGTTTCAAATTCAATGACCTTTTTGCACTTGGCACTTCTATAAATGCTTTTCAAACACAGATCCTATCTCAATATAAGACAGCATGTGTTAGTTAAAGCCAATACCCATATGTACTATTTCACCTTAAAACTTCCCTACAAATCAAAAGTTTCTAAACCCAAAGAAATGGTTTTAACATTTTAAATGCATCATCGAAAAGTTAAAATGAAAATGGGTCAGGAACTTTGGGAAACTGAACTCCCAACTTGCCATTGAATCATGAAATGGTGATAAAAAACTTGAACAGGATTTTAAACCACAAAGAAAAAACATGAATTACAAAGGCATTTCAAAAAGGCAAATTTTTCATCAAAAAATAACAACTACATGATTATTTTTTTTTTGTAATATTTACACAAAAATTTAGGATGAGTCTTCCACATATACACATTAATACACACAGACTTTTTACTACCATTCAAGCACTATTTTTCAAGTGTAAAATCAACTTGTTATTCTTAAAAAGACATTTATCATTAAAAACAAATGAAATAAAAATAATAGAAAACATTAAAAAAAAAGATGTGAAATAAAAAACATAAAAAAAAATTGTTAAAAGTGGCAAAAATGACAGTCTGCATGAGTTTTTACAATAATTTTTCAATTAAACTTCTTTTTTTATAATTCAACTTTATCCGCCTTTTATTTTTACAGAATTTTTTTTCGTAGAAATGTCAATCCGATAAGAAGGAAAAAAAACAACGTCAACCATAATCTCTTTATAAATAATTTGGAATTCATTAAATAAAGATAGACTGCTTCAAAATATTTTCTTTTTTCTTAAAAAAAAAAATAAATAAAAATAACAAAAATCATAAACTAATTTTATAATGTTCCCCTCGGACATATAAGGGAGATAACTCAAAATATATTAAGGTTACAATACAATCTTTTCTTGCAACAATTTCAACACATATGATGAAAGATGAATTAAACCTAAAAACTAACATGAATTGTTTTACTAAAATGATCTACTGAATTATGTACAACAATTTTATGTCTATAATAACATAGACTTTTAAAGTGTTTAAGGTAGAAGGATACCTGCAAAACTTAAAATTCTCAACATCTTAATTTGTGTTTTCAATTAAAAAAAATTAAATTGTTACTTGAAAAAATATGTCATTACTTTCTAACAAGAAAAATAAATAGGTTTAATAAAATTTATACAAAGTACAATTTGATAAACATTTAGATTTTTAAGTGTCCAAACATCTCTTCAAAGTCATGGCACTGTTTTAAGAGTTTAGGTAACCTTCTACCTTAAAACAGAAAAACCTTATCAAAACACCAGGATATCTTTAACAACATAAAACAAAAAAAATAATATTAGCTAGAATTTAAAAACTTCAGCAACACTTTTTAAAAACACTTCTTTAAGAAGCTCTCAGTGAATAAATAGGAAGTATTTAATTAATATACTTGTTGTTTTGGTTAAAAGATATACTCCTTAATATGTAACATGCAAAATTTCAATATAATCTAAATTTGAATTTTGGTATAAACATTTCAAACTAACTTTTAGTGTTATGTATTAACTCACTGCAGATTTAATGCAAGCTTGAATTATAAATGTACTATGTAAGAGATTAAAGCACGTTAATTGATGCTTTCTTCAAAAACAGGAGTAATTTTTACACTTAAGAATGAACTGGAACATAATTTCTGTTCTTGTTGTTTTATTTGCCATCACATATGTTTGTTTAACACTGATAAAACTTTAGGATTGAGGTATTCATATAATCTCATATTTTGCTCTATATTTCCTATATTATACTTATATAGAGCAATAAAGCTAATCCCTCTGATGTAAGTTTATGCCTGAATAAAAGAAAATAATCTAAAACAAATAATTATAATCAAGATAAATTACATATATTAATTCAATTTTCATAAATTATGAATCATGAAACAAATAAAAAAGAATGAAAAAAAGACATAAATCAAAGAAAAATCAGCACAAAATAATTCAAAAATAATCATTTCAAAATGTACATTAACAAACACCTTCAATAAAGGAACACTGGCAGAAAATGAAAAATGAAATTTCTAATCTAAAAAAAATCATCCAATCCAACTGAATAAAGTTTATTTTCATCCAATCAGATCATTCCAGTTCAAAGCATTCCATCCAATCAAATGTTGCGATGCTTAAAGAATCATCCAATCAGAATGTGGGATGTAGATCATGTGATGAGGTGATTGGTTGGCTGTTCTATTTTACTCCCCTGATATCACATTGGTATAGTGGCCTTTAAACCAAGATTGTTGTTGGACTGTAAAGAAGAGAAGAATACATGAATTGTGTGCACCTTATAAAATAAACAAGTCATATACATTATTGATAACAATAACCTTTAATATTTCAAGTTTTAAATTTTAATTTACAAAGAATTGAAATTGAATAAAGTATACTAGAAATATGTGAGCTATCATGAAATTTACAGTACAAATATTATATTGTATAATATGTCCTATCTATCTTTAATAAAATATCTAAGAAAACTTTGTAACTCAAATTGTAAAATTTTATAATTTTGTTAATATAGAGACGACACAAAACATAGAGAAATTATGTTAATTACACATGTAGATCATTAAAAAAAAAATTACGTAGTATGTGCTCTAAAATTTGAGAAATATATATCAAGTTTTCTTCAAAAGAAAGACAACAAAACTTTGGAAATAGATATTTAAAACAAAGTTGATCACTGACACTAAAATTTGCAAAAGCTACATTTTTTTACTGGTTCAGTGTTCTTTTTCATCAGTACTTCTAAAATGTTTTTTCATTTAGTTTTACTTTTGGAATCTTAAAATCTTTTCACGAATGTTATGGTAGCCAAGACAAGGAAAACTGCCACAAACAAAATAAATCAGACCAATATGAAGCTTAAGCCTTGCTTGTTTTAGATCATAGCTATTAAATTGATTTCAGTTCTGCAGAACACCATTTATATTCTAAAATACTATAAGGTTAGGTTTAGTTTCCAACAATAGAAGCCAGAGAGTATTTTGGACTCTACTAAATTATAGAACAGAACAAGTAAATGAATATTTCTTAAAGCTGTTCCAGTAATGGACTACTTTTTGTACCTTTTTCCAGGTAAACACCATTATCTCAACATTAATTATTTTAACAATTGAATAATTAATTGACTGCCTTGTAAAATAATTTGAATATTTCTATAAAAACATGTCAAGCACTGTCAAGGTCATAAGGTGATATTCTGGGAAGGTGTACACAAAATATGCTAGCTGTTCTGACACCAATATAATTGTTTGACACAATCCTGCTAGTTACATAAGCTCCAAAAAAAGTAAGTCAGTTGTAGGGAACCATTAATTTTACATCTATTATAAATGTGAAAAAGTATGCCAGGCCTTTGATTTGATCTCACAAGAGAAACACTTTAACACACATTAGATTAATTCTCAGATATACTGCATACAAAACACAATCCTTGTCTTGTTTTACAAGCAGTTATGAAAGCATGCACATAATCATTTATTAACTAAAATAAATATTTCCCTTTATAGCAAAAATGAATTTCAGCAGGCATTTTTTGTAATAAATACTTTATATTTTTAAATACCATGGAAACATCAAATTATAAACCAAAACAGTTACAAGCATGACAAAATATGTAGCAAAGTGCTATTTCTAAAACAATAAAAGATATGTTATTAGGCAGAACTAAGGAGACTATTATTACATACATTCAGATACACAAAAACTCATTCAAAACTAAAAAGCTTAGAAAAAATAAAAACAACACTAATAAACTTTTAGCTGGGTAGAACATATGCTGAATTTTAGTTTTATTTCTATTCTCTTAATTTGGGACTTTATTCTTTGAAAAATGAAGGATATATTTCTGTTTCTTTATTGTTTTATTTGCTTAAAGAATGCAAAAACACCAAATCTTCAAAATCTTGTATGTTTATCTTTAAGAAATCTACCCAGCACTCTATGAAGAATTGGTTATGAATACATACATAAAATATACATTTAAGAGGAAGTTACATTAGAGGTTACACAAGTTACAAATATAAGAGTTACACATATAAGACCATTAATTTTGACTATAAAGGCAGAAGGGGTACACAATTTGATTTATTGTATTGTCATTTTGTTTGCTCGTTGTCCCTCCGTATATTAGAGTATTCAGGGGAGACAACTTACGGGGCCTTACTTGGCAGGGGTAGGAGTGTAAGCCTGGAAGTGTTGCTGTGCATCTTCTACTGTGTGATCCTGTGAAATAAAGACAGATATGCCTCTAAGTAACTATTTGTAGAATATGTAAAATGTCAAGGTCACAGATCAGTAGCTCAAATTTCCATGGTCAAACTTTTTGTTTCTTCACACAAGGTAAAAGAAAGACGAATTCAACTATCAGTTTAGATAAATTTTAATTTAACTGCAAATGAGTGTATTTATAATCCTTTTTTTTCCAAATAATGCTGAGAACTTTGTTCCCTTCAAACACCTAATAATAAATCTCCATACCTTAAACGAAGGGTGCAACTTCTAAACATTTCAAGAAAAAATGTTTGAAAAATAAACAAAAACATTCTTTAAAGGTTAAGCAAATTGTCTGAACATTTTTTTTATTGGCTACTGTTCTTTGACATCATCCATTCAATATAATACCCTTTCTGACTTTATACATTGAAGAGTACTCAAGAATGAAAATATAGGCCAAACACAATAAATACATAGAAAAAGGGGATAGTCCACAGGGGAAAAATGCCTTTTTTGTCTTTTGTCAGAAGAACCTATCTAGAAATCTACTGTCAAGACATATTGTGCATTTAAACTAGAATTGTGACTTTAATGTGAAAATGTTAGAAAATGAATATCATTATTTTTGTAATTAATTTAATTATGAACATGAAACTATATATAAAATAGTCATTTCTCTTGTACCTATACAGCCATTCTTTTTTGTTATATTTACAAAAATAAATAATGAATTAATATATCATAGGAATTACTGACAAAATTGACATTGATCAACAGTAGTTGAAAAATTTCTTAGAAAAAATACTTTTAAGTCATCATTATATGAAATACAACAGCAAACAGTTATAAATATGCATGATAATTTCTTGCTCAAAATTTACTTATACTTGTACAGATAAAAGTTATTTTTGTAAATTTGAAATTTATAAACTAAAATATGCAGAAACGATTGGTTAGAATTTGAAATATCATGCATACATTTTTGTTTAGACTAAAATAAACAATATCAAATAACAAATTATGCACCTGAAATTGTTATGACAAATTTCAAAGTCTCATTTTCAAAATAAATATGACTAAGGGACAACAAAAGACCCCAGTCTTATATGTTCAAGCACATAAAAGTATTCACAAGTTAAAAATTAGTTACTGAAAATGTCTCAATTCAAATGGCTAATGCATTTCAGTCCATAAAATTAAAAGCCGTGAGAAAGTTAGAGGTACTATATTCCAAGTGCAAGAAGTTGTGTATTTGAGATTGAAGCGAAAAACTGTAAAAGGATTGCATACTTGACTGAACGTTACTACGGTAACCAAACTTACATTACTATGGTAACAAAATTTACGTTACTATAGTAACAAGTTACTTACCTCTAATTGAAGTGTTTGTAGAATGGGTCCAGCTTGGTAGGGAACTTGCGTGTACCCTGGTGTTGTTAAAGCTGCGTACTGAAAAAACAACAATAAAGTACAAACATTAAATAGGAAATAAATAATTATTGGATATAAGATTGAACTTAAGTACGAATGACAGACACTATCCAACACTTCTTTATCAATCAGCATGGCATGACTATGGTGTTAAAAAATCAGTTCGCAATTTTATCTTGTTCTGAACAGTTGATAATTTTAGCACTTATGTTTGAATTTTGTCAATTAATTTTGTTAATTAAAATTCTTTCAAATTCTTTTCCACGTATTTTCAATAAGTCTGATCAACATGGTGTTTTATTTTTAAATAAAAATTCAAACATGTAATATATCAAAAGCCAGAAATTAAAACTGAAAAATCTATCTACTGAACATTGACAAACCAAACTAGAAGCTAACCATTAGTTTTGAAACTTCAACAGAGTTATAAGAGAAAAATAAACACTTTGTTTTATGTTAAATACGGTAACATGATCTTGGGGACCAATAATTGGAACAGCAAAAAAGAAACCGAAAATAGCCGAGACCGTAAAATCCCAAAAAAGATTGCTTGTCTATGTCCACTTTTTAAAAGAAAGGACTTTCAAAATTGCCTGATAAATTTATAATCTAAAGTCAAAACTCAAGCAAGTTAACAGTCCTTAATTATTTCAAAATTTAGATATTTTCATTTTGACGACAAAATTGACTGAAATTTGATTGGATTATAGACTAAAAAAGTGGACACAATTTTTGAAAGGGGGTAAAAATCACATTAAAATTGAAGTTTTTAAATTGATCCATGCAAACTGTGTTTTGAGTGAATAAAGCGTTAAACAATGTCAAAAAACCAACCACCTCAGACAGTTTCCATGGCAACCACTTAAAGTTACCATAGAAACTACAAAAATGAACTCTCAATGGCATATCTCTCAGCAAAATAGGAAATAAAATTATAAGAGCAGTCAAAATGCATGTATTTTCTTTCTTTATTTTTAAAATATTTTTTATCTTTCTTTTCTTTTTATTTGTAAATGAGAAATTAATTAAACAAAAGCAATAAGGTTGCTTTTTTTCTTTTAAACAAGGCATCAAAATGAAAACTTTCTACATTTTCTGTTCTTTCTTTTATAGTTAATCAATGAAACATTATTAGGTCAACTCCACAACTTCCATGCAAAATTAAAGATAAAAGCAGTTACACATGCAAGAATAAGAAAAAAATACTGTCTACAATTGACTGCTACTATAATTTGTGAAACATTTACAAGACTTCAAGGTTTTGCCACAATTCTGCTATAACACAATGAAAATAAAGAGTCAGTTATGACAGAGTTGTTCTGAAAACCTTGATATAAATAGTCAATAAAAACATCATGTACAATAAATTTTTGATGACAAAAAATCACAAATTTAATATCTTGAAAAATTGATAATTGCATTTTATGACAAATTCATATTTATCATTTAAGGGTCACAAGTCAGAGTTGTATTACTTTTATCAAAATTTTGAAATGATAATTTAATAGTCTGGGGGATTTGCAGCTACTTAAGCATTATTTAACAAAGGCATTATTTTTCAAAATATTTTCCTTATTTCTACAAAAAGATGTTAAATATTCTTTACATTTTAAGGAGCAAATCCTAAAAAAAAACATGTCAATAAAAATGCACAAAAAGATTGCATTTTAAATGAGTTAAAATCATTACTGTTTATTATTGTTAAAATTTGAATGATGTTTTTGAATATAAAACAATGAGTAAAATTAAAGATTGAAACAAAAATTTCCAGTTTAATTTGCCAGTCATAATTGTCACAATGTGTGAGAATCACGTCAAACAGTTTAAAGACACCTAGATCACCAAGTTTAAACACTAATAGCAAACATAAAAAAACACTTGTTGTTTTTGTTAACACACAGCAAACAGTGATAAATCAGACTAGTTTCTCCTGAAATTGTTGTCTTTCACCATCCACAGTTCTCTAGCTCTTGGCTTAAGCTTTCCTTCCAACTTGTTATAGATCAACTATGTAATCATCCAATTGACAGTCTGTTGCCCCTTTGTTTCAAGTAACCAAGCAGTTGTCATTTCAGTTGCAAATTTGTTTCCAGTTGGCTTCAGTTGCCAGTTTGTTGCCATTTGGCTTCAGTTGCCAGTTTGTTGCCATTTGCAATGCTTCAATTTGCTTCAAGTTGTCAGTCTGTTTCCATTTTATTTACAGTTGCCAGTCTTGTTTCCATTTCAATTTAAAATGCCAGTCTAATTACAGGATGTGGTTTCATTTTCCATAAAAGTCATGTTAATTTTAATGATGAACTTATCTTTGACAAGTGATAGTTAACAAAAAATCTTTCTGTAAAATATTTCTGTAATGTACTGTGACTTTTCAGACATTGTTATAAATAATTTTTATTATTTCTGTATGTGGGGTTTTAATCTTAGGGCCATTTTAGATCAGTTTAAGCCAACGGTAGATTGTTCGTAAAGAAAGTTTCAATGACATGTTAAATTAATATACATATTCAAAAAAAAAAATGAACTCTTCTTTCCCCATTCAGTGGATCTCAAGATGTTGACGTAAAAGAAAAGAAGTTGAAATATTGAATCTTTACCGATGACCATGTCCATGGAAACAAAACAAAAGAAACATAAAAACGAAATTCCCCTTACTTTAATTGAACTGTACAATTATATTAAACAAAGAAATTCAAATAACTCATTTTTTGTCTACAGGCAAATTTCATGTAAATACGTATCTATGACAAAATATACTTAATCATTTCTAGCAAATGATAATTGTAAAGCCACTGTCAATTTTATTTAATTGGCATTAGAAAGAACATAGCTTTAGTAGATATACAAAGATAAAGCCATTATTTTATTAAAATCTTGGATTGTCAATATTAATTTTTGTGAGATAAGTTAGGATAATTATGATTATATAAATAGCATCTTTGCTACATTATTTAATGCAAATGATTTTCCAGTATTATTCAGTTTCACAAGTATCAATTGCTTTACAATGCAGGAAACAATTGAGATACAACTGTAAACCATTTGAGTTATGAGAAAAAGACAAATTAAACATAAGATAAAAACAGAACACCCCTTACAAAAACACATTACAAGTGAAATGTAAAAAAAAAATGTGTTTCAGAGAAAAAAAAAACATACTCAATGTTAAATAAATTTTATCACAACTTCAAACATTTTTTGTAATCCTTTATACAATTGCAGTGATTACAATGTGCCTATGCCATCAAAAAACTAGGGCCACAAATAGTCTGACCATACTTTCCACTGTTAGAAGTTTAATTTTTGCATCATGATTTCAAAATCCCTCTCGTAAACAAAAACAGTTCCAAATTCAAAGAAAGAGTAGTCATTTATTCAAATTTAGCTTAGTAAGGGCTAAAGGAAAACATGTACAACTTACTGAATCTTAACAAAATCCCTTTTTTAATGTTTGTTAAGTGTGGAATCATCCCTTTCAGCAAACTCAACATTTAGCTGAGTATTCTGTCTTAAGTTTTTATGCACACAATTATTTTATATCTTCTTCTAGTTTAAGCATTTTTGTTTCACATGCTACTGCATATATACACAACATAGCCAATTAGCAACAATAAATATTTCATCACCTCAGTGCTGTAACGGTTTAAATCCTTTAACTATATATAAAGAGTTAACCCTTTACTGCACTAAGGTGATGATTTACAATATAAAATGAGAGTAACAGTCATTCAACATGGCCTTAGACCAGTCTACAAACAAAAGCATCAATTTTTTTTTTTTAATTTTCATTTGTCTGTTTTTATCCAATGACAAACAAAATGCCAGATTTAAAAATTCTGTCCCAATAAATAATGCAAAAAATATATTTTGTTTTTGTATTCGTAGTAATACCTAAGGTTACTCAAAAAAAATAGTAAAGAATAACATAAGGTATGCAACATAACAAATTAAAAATGGTGTCAAGCTCGGTCCGGCACTAACATAACAAAATGGACATAAGAACGACCTGATATTTTTTTTTATGAACCCTTAATTTCAGACAACCCTCCATATAACATTTGACACCAGAGGCAATTATTTTAGATGAGATATTCATATCATTATTTCAAAAGGTCAATGTTTTCATCTGTCTTAAAGAAGACACAATAATGACAGGTTTTATAACTTCTATAATATAAACTTCAAATTGGCTCATTTTACCATTTGCATCACACACACTGGCTTCATTAAAACAAAATCAAAATATTGAGCAACAGAAATAAATTGAGCAAATCATAAAATTAACATAGTAAAACTTGTTTTTTGTTTTCTCGCAAACTATTTACAATATTTCTAAACAACCTTGAGTCCCACATTAAAAAAAAAAATGTTTTCAAAATATTTAATTCAACCCTAGAAAATCATACAACCATTTATCTATCCTAATTTGCCGCATTTAAACAATTTACATTAAAAGACTCCCTCTTCAGACATTTATATGCAATTTTGACACTTCAAAGAAAATTTCAATTGCAAAAAAAAAAACCCAAAAAAAAACAAACAACAAAAAGAACAGTAACTATGGTGACGTAGTCATCATTCACCAATGAGTAACCCCTAAAAAATCACATGACCATTTGTCATATTCGTATTTATTATACTGGTATCTTTTGTTTTCAAGCAGTGCTTTTGTAACTGGCAGTTTATGCTGAAGGTGAAAAGATTAATAAAGGATTATATGTAATTTTTTGATGAGTACACAAAAAGTAGTACTTGATACAAGAGCAAATGTTCCAAGCCTTTTATACTGGAGTACATATATCTTTCTATCAACACGGTAATAACTTGCGATTAATATACACAGGTGTAAATGAACTTTTCTGTTTGTACAGTGTTAAAAAGTCGCTCGTATCCCAACATATACCCCAACTCCCTGTTCGAATTTGACTTTATTGATATTTTTTATGAAGAATTAGACGTTTAAATGTTAAATTCAAAGGAATGTTTTTATTTATTTTTGTAAGTAAATTTTACCATTTACGAAATTTTGTAAATCTTGCTTAATCTGAGAGGATGAAGATGAATATCATTTTCAGTTGGGATTTTCATATTTTCTCTACAAAACTTTTGTAAGATCGAGTTCATACAATCTCTTTATTGATATGACCATAGTAAGAGCTCACACCATTTAATTTCCGGTGAATTTGGTTTGTAATTTGAAGAGATACGAGAGCTAAAAACCATGTACAAACATTATATTTACTATACACAGTACAGTCCAAAAAAAACTTTGTAAATGCTAGGCTTGCATAAAATCTGACTAGAGAAAAAAAAACTGAGATAAATTTTGTTTCTGTACAAATTTCTGGTTATACGTGAACAAATCAAACCATGACTATAGGATATATGGTAAAATGATTACACTGGTCAAAAATCTCTAATTAAACGTAGTGCTATATGATATATGTATTTAAACGGTTGAAAAAAGTACCTGAGAAATTTCTACTGAAAACCATAATATTGAGACTGAAAAGAAAAAATTGTATGATTAATTTACATTTTTTACATCATTAGTCTACATAATTTTGCATTAATTTACAGAATTTACAAGGACCTTGTACACACAGAGTTTTATTTCAGAAGTTTAGAAAATACTGCTTAACTTAGCCAACGAATTTGACTACTTGTACCCAAATAACTCTCTAATGTTTTGCAGGGCTTCTGAACAATAAGACTCAAAGACATACTAATGTTTAGTTCATAAAAAAAACAACAGAACCCCATTCATTCATAAACCTGATCCAAAAATTAAAAAAAAAATTGTTCACTTCAAAGCACTGCAAATTATTTACACAGAATTCTTAGAATTCTTTTATTTTATATATATTATTTGGCACAGTTTGGAATAATCAACATTGGTTAAATAAAAAAGAAATAATTTTATAGCATCATCTTCTGCATCTATAAAAATGATGACATAAAAAGTTAAAAAAAACACAACTGCACATTATAAAATACCCTTTAAAACCACACAAAATAGAAAAAAAGGTTTTTCTTCCTTTAAATTAAGGCTTAAGAGACCATTAATGAACAGATTCCATAAATATTATAAGAGTTCTGACCAAATTATGGTAAAAATTATGAATCTCTTTAAAAAAAAAAAAAAGACAGAGAGGGAGAGAAAAAAAAGTTAACAAAAACAAAGAAAGCATTTTTGATAACCAAAACAATTTTGTAACTATCATTTCCCATAATAATTGAGGATTTCTTTTTAAACCTTAAAAATATTTAAAGAGATTTTCAATAAAATTGAGAGTACACCTGTTTAGAGAGTTTTCTAAAATTTTAAAAAGAATTAATGCAAATAAACACAATATCCTAGCAACCAAAGCAAGCTTTGTTGAGCTTCTCACAAAGAAAGAAGAACCCAACTTAGTTAAAAAATTCAAGAATGCAACTGTTCATAACAATGTAATAACATAACAATGTAACAAGCATAACAATATGTTGCCATAGCGATTTTCACTGCAGTTATTTTCACATGTCAAAGTTCATCACAATGTTTCCACATTGAAAAAAAACAACAACAAAAGGTCAAAAATATTTTTCAAAAGTTCATCACTATGACAACATTCCACTATTGAGATGGTTGGTCATTCATTGGTTAACTCAATTCTGAGGTGAATCCACCTCCCCTACCGATTGGTTGGAAATTTGGAGCTGTCCCATTTGATTGGCTAACTGAGGGAGTAAGGAGGCGGGGTCTAAACCTGCCTGGTTACCAGCTGTATGTAGTGAACTTGGTTGAATCATCTGCTAAATATTGCAATTAAAAACAAATCTAATTCAATCCTTAAAAATTAATGTCCAAAATTTTTTGTTTAATTTTTAGAGTACAAAAAATTATATTGCTCAATGTCATTATATTAACACCACTAAAAGTTATATTGTAAAAATAATTTCAAAAATCCATTTCCAGGAACTTTTCTTTTTTTCATAAAGAAAATAAATATTACATACAACATTGACTGAGGAAACAATATCTAAATTGTTGTAGAACTTACATGTGCCATTGGGGGTTGCATAATATATTGTGGTGCTACAAAGGCGCCAGGGTTAGATTGTACTTGGTACGTAGTAGGGGAAGATGCTACACTGTAGCGGGGTACGATCCCAGGGGTCATCAGTGCTGCACCACCAGGTATACTGTAAGGCAGGTAAAGACTGAAAAATATAAAAATAAAACTTCTTAATGTCTTGAAATAATAAAATATCAATAACAAACTTTACTAAGAAATTAAGAAATTCATGCACATACAAAATAATCTGCTTTGATGTTTTAAAAGGCCAAAAAAAACCCCAAAAAACAAGAGGATCATGATGGCCCTGAAAGCGCTCACCTGAATATAAAAACTCTCAATGAACAAGAATAATTTTGACCCCAGGGCTTTTATTCACCCATAAGATGTTTAATGCTAAATAGCTAAGCTCTAGGCTACCTTTTTTTTCAAGAAAAGGAAAGACTTCTGTACAAACATAGGACTATGAACAATCTAAAGATAATGATCAGTGCCCAAATAGATCACTTAATTGCTCAAACAAATTGTAAATGATTGTATTATGTATTTTATTCATACCTGGATGAATAGAGATATTTAAATTGAATACAGTCTAACTTGCCCATGCGACCACGTGTATTAAGCGACTTTTGTCTTAAACGACCACTTTAAATTCCCCCCGATCATTTTCTCTCTATATCTTTAATGTATTAAGCGACTTTTGCTCAACGCGACCAGCGACCGCTAATTAGTCACCTAATTGACATCAATCTTTTCATTAAACGACCACTTTTACCTGTCAAGTAATTGTGTTTTTAGAGAACGCCACCTCGTTATGTCACAAGTGTCAGCAATCACAACAATAAACGTGTGAAAAACTCTATTTCCCATACCGTTTTAGCGTATGCAAATGAAGTTAAGTATACGCGTGACGTGTATTATCCAATAATATCGGATAAACAATGCAACGCTCCGCCCATACTGAGATGGTGTATACGCTTCGCTTGTTGACATTTAGACTGCATTGAATTGACCTTGAACTTGATCAGCCATTAAATTAATCGTAAGAAATAGATGTAGTTTGTTTATTTCAAATGAAAAAATGCACAACAGAAAACATCTTCACTAATAGGGTTTTCGTGTTGGAGACAAGGAAAAACAACGGAGAAGTTAAAAAATTCTGGAAAAAATGTCAAACATGTACGTAATGGATCAAAACTGATTTTGTCAATAAATATCAGAACGTTATTTTTACATTTGCATCCGTTTAGATTATCGGAGCGTACTTATTATTCAACATTTATATAAAAATGAAGTTGAAAAACAACCCCATCGAATATTAAAGATGTCATTTATAAATTTTGACTTTTACATCATGCTGACTGTCTTAAGAGACCGTTTCATTAAGCGACCGTTTTTGGTGTTTCCCTTGCCCGGTCGCTTAATACACGTTTGACTGTAGTAAGAAATATGATTTATTTAATGAGATGTTTGATTCAGTAATTACTTACCCATTTTGAGCTAAGGCAGCCTGGTCATACGCCATTGTCTGAAGTGGCTGAAAGAGAACCAGACCATTGCAATATAGACTGTGTTACAATATTTATGATTGATTTTTTCTTTAAAGTAACAGAAAGGGTTAGTAATTAAGCTAAAGACAACTAACACAAGAAAATGAATACTTTAGGATAAAAATATATACTTATGTATAACTGTATTTGTTGTGGATAATTTTATAAGCTTTCTTACAATAGTGATTGATATCTTTAGAGAGAATTAGAGTTTTTCAAAATATGTAAGAACTTGGTCAGTGCACAGCACCTATCTTGTGGTGCAAGCTTTTCCTTTCATGAAATATGTCTAAGAAAAAAAAACAACAACTGACTTATAAAGATGCTGTCCATACAGTTTTCCTAAATTTATTAAAATGTAAATGTTTAATAACAAACTATAAGTAATATTGTAAGCTATATATATCACTATAAACTGGAATATATAACAAGGATAATTAATATATATGAGTGAAATCCTTTCTTTATAAAAACTGATTTGCTGTCATTCCATTTAGAAAACTTTAGAAAACTGTCATCAAATATTCCAAATGAAGAAATAATTGAATTATGTCCCTTTCACCATGGTATTTATAGTAATTTTTGGATTTTTTTATTTTTGATATTAATGCTGAAGGATTTCAAAAAAAAAAGAAGATAATTAATTGAAGTTCATCATTCCATGTTTTATAAATCAAGTTTAATACAGCCAATTTTTATAAACTGATAAAGTTGACTTTTATTTGTTTTGCATAATTTTGTTATGCAACAACTTGAACTTTGTCACATATAAAATGATATATTGCTTTTATTTTCAATTTTATACAAATTGATCATTATGCTCTTCTGTATGTTATTCATGGAATGATGAATGATTACACGATAAATATGTCACTGGGTGTATATTTATTCAAAGATCAGGCATTTTGTGTAATGTATTTCTGGATACATTTTTACCATGCATATAAAATCATAACATATATATATTAAGATGCTAATGTTCCAAACTTTTCAAAAAGTTTTTCAAGTTTTTCCAGTTTTATAATTCGATTTTTGATTCAGGGTTTAAGAATTAATATATTATCTAATTTTACAGTGATTAATTTTCTCCAGAATGTAACTTTTCAACATGTTGATTTTTTCTTTTAGTGCCTTTTCTTATATAACAGGGATAAAACAAGTGTCCGCAAATTGGAACAGGGGGCAGGGGATGGGTCAAAATAATCTTTCAACATTTGTTTTTTTTATTTTTTTACTTTTTAAAGCTTCCCTTTACTATCAGACTTGGAAATTGACCAGACTTTACACTGGCAGCCATTGAAATGATATTTTATCAGTAACCAAAAGAAATTTTCGTTACTCACTTAAGAGACAGACATCTTGCCAAAATCATATGTCAATTTCAAAATTTAATGTACTACACAATTCAAAATTATTAAAGCAATTGTTTGCATCTTTTGAATATTCATTCATCTATGATATGTAAATGACCAGCTTTAAAAGGAATTCAAATATGAACAGAATAGCTATAATAAGCATGTTTTTTTTTCCCCAGATTTCTCAAAATCATTTTATATTCCATTTACTCCAGAATAAACTGTTGAATTATGAAACGAATATTTTGACCCATGTATATATATATTCAGATAATATTATATAATGTGCATACAACAAAAAAGTTTACATTGTTGAAGAAAAAAAAGAATTAATATAAACCACAGTTAAACTAGTTTACTGTTGAACAAGATAGGGGTTAAATGTGAATAAAGTAAAGGTAACATTTAAAACAAATCGGTATATATATATAAAATATATGCAATCTTTTAGTTGTGTAAACTGTTTAATATTTATGCAACATGAGTATACATATGTGTAAACTGGTATTGATTATATGTATAAAAGGAATACACGTCTATATATATATATTTAACTGTAACGTTGAAAATTAAGTCCAGATCGGAACTTACTACATCGGACCGATCCGGCCATAATTTTGTCGGTTGAATATACGGCACCTTTTTCTTGTTTCCTCCATCTGCGAATTTCGCGAGCAATGGTTCCGTACAGCCTAAGATTACATATAATAAATGGTAAAATATCATAAATGTAACAAATCTGTAAACACCATGAAGGATTTAAAAACTAAAGTAGTATTTTTTAAAATATTTATCAAAGTTAAGCAAAAATTGCCATAATTTATCAAAGCAATTTTATGGAATGTATGTCAAAATTTAATATAAAACTAGAAAAGTCTGTAATCTCTTGAACTGAGAAATAAAAATACAGTGTAATGAAATAATTAGCGAGGCGATATGGTTACAGAAACTACAAAACATTTTAACCTATATATTCTACCAAAGGATCAAAACTACAAACTTACCAGGCAATATTTTTCCATTAAAACCATTTATAACTTGTTCACATTTTTCTTTTGACTCCATTCGTGCAAACCCTACACCTCTGCTGACCCCATCAGGCTTCCGAAGAATCCTTGTCGATATTACTGTACCGTAATCTTTCAACATATTTTCCAAATTTTGTTCAGAGAAATAAAGTGGTAAATTGGCAATGTAGAGATTTGTGGGATCTTGTTCTTGTTGCTGAAAACAGAAAAGTTGAAAATTGTACAAAAAGAAAATAATACAACAAAAAATAATATCATTTATTCAATGTAAATATTTAGATATTTCTTAAATCCTGAAATTCAAATCTGTTATAATTATTAATTTTTAAGACCAGGGAAGTATATTTTATATGTTTTCTACAAGTTTTAAACAAGTTTAAAATCATTGAAATTCAATAAAGTCAGTTTGAGAAAATCCAAGGGAGACAATTCATGTCTGTATTACAGAGTAGTGCAATTCTATTTATTTCCCTTAGCTCAATGGAAAAGTTCAATATTGTTTACTTGGCATATGGTCTTTTTCATTTTTCATACAATTCAGATAGAAGAAATATTGATAAGGCTTAGATGAGACCTCATTCAGTTATGCTAGGCCTTTTTTTCTTGCACTCTTAACAAATCAATTTCTCTTCACAGATTTGTGGATTTGTTCAATATTGGTATAGCTCTAGAGTAAACATTTAACCATTGTATGTAGAAAACTTATACAGAACTAGTGTAAATATTAAGGGTATATTTAACAAATATACCTTATTTACATCAGGAAATGCTATAAATGGTATAAAGAGTTTAAGTATTGGCAAACAAGTGTGGCTAATGTAGATTTAGTCAACACAGGAATTTTCTAGCTTTCCATTTCTCACTATATGATCAAGTCATAAACTGTTCAATTTTTTATTTAGTTCACGTTTTAACTTGAAAGAGGTTTTATGATTTTATGCATTATTTGTTATTCAAGCGAGTCATAAACTTCGAAACCATGAAATTCACCTCAAATCGTGTATTGAATTTAAAGTCATATTGTATGAACATAAATTTAATGCAATTTTTAATTTATATAAGTTTTTTTTTTGGTGGTTAAAATAGGTCCATACTGCTATTTAAAACCTTAAACCAAATGATTCAATAAAATTTGGCTGCTTCAATCAATCATTTTCACTTTGAATTAATTTTTTTTCCAAAAGACTAGGTAATTTAGAAATGATTAAATTGTCTCAATAAAATTGGAGAGAAAATACAAAAACTCTCCTGTTTCACCCTGTCATTTCTAATACATCAAAATAATGCCCTGGATCAATTTAATGCCTAAACAATAAAAGTTGCCTCAATTTTCAGAAGAAAATCAATAAATTTTGAGGTGACACTTATCATATGTAAAAAGGGTGGAAATAAAATCGCATTTTGGCTCCATGCCAAATAAACAGATTTATGGCCAGTTTTTATAAATTTCTATTTAAAACCTCAGCATGATACCTTAAAGTAATTGGACACCTGTATGGATAGAGATGCATTCATTACAGCAGGTCCTTATTTGGAGAAAGTGTTTTAAGTAACAAATGACACATACTTATGGGGCTCAGGTCTAACACTTTTTATAACCTTTTTATAACAGTACCAGAACAAAAGTTTTTTTCTGTACAAGTTGCTGCATGATGATCATTTTATGAAATTATGTCAATGTTCCATATTATTGTCACCAAAAGGTTTGAAAACATGTTTAACATGGGGGAAAATTTTATTTATGATCAAAACAGAAATCTCTGTTTACTTAAATTTTTTCCACTTTATGAAAATATAGATATCATATATTATGTATCAGTAATTTAAGTAAATAGATGTACATACTTGAGATGGTACATGTTACATTAAACGTACAAAATTTTGTAACTTTGCCAAGTTTTGTAAAAAAATATAAAACTTGACTTTAACCAAAACTATTTTTTAAGATCTATCTTTAAAAGTTATCATTTTGACATTATTTAAACACACTTTTAGTAAAAAGATTCCCCCATTACAACCACTCGGCTATATATGATTACATTTAACACTTGGTTACAGATGAGATATTTATGTATAATTTATAATTCATCTTCATAAGGAGATACATTCTTCATACTTTGATAAACATAACTGTTGCTAAGTAACACAAAAAAAACATCAGTTAATTTTATGCAACAGGTATGATGTCCCATTTAATATATTACATGGTTTTAAAGTCATAACAAGTTTTACCATATGTTTTTCTTCCTGTCTTAACCGACATTTATTTACTAAAAATTGTTAAAATATTATATTTCAATGTAAGCACATTAATGACAAGTCTTCGTTTATGATATAATATGTTGGTATGTATGTATGTATGTGCTGCTTTAAATGTGAAGATTAATAGGTCCCAATTTAAGTAACTCCGTACAACCAAAAACAATATTTAAGTCTTTAAGCATTAATTAAAAATTCCTATTAAAACATAAAAGGAAATGAAGATTGTTTCTGTTAAAAAATTCAATTTTAACGTTTATTATTTTAATGTAAAAGACCTTAAAGTGGAATGGTCTAGAGTTTTCTTCCCTTGGATTTAAGTTGACCTAGTGTTCACACAGGTTTTGTGTCACTGATTATGTACATTTACTCCCTTTAAAGTATGTAGTAATACTGTGGTCATGTACAACATATAGTAGTTTATAACATGATGATGGAATACCTTAGTACACCGCTGGAATGTGAAAAATGTGTAGATGAAATGCTCAATTTTTTATCATCATATAATGTACTGTAACAAGTTTTACAGTTTTTTTTTCAAAATATTCATAAATTTATGAGCCTTGAATATGAATATGGAAAATGTAACTAACATTAACAGTCTGGCAAAATTTGTTTACTATGCAAATTTTGTCTCCTAAGGGTTAAAAACATCACAAAATATCTAACATTATCAAGAAAAAAAAACTTCTTCTTTTATACACTGTTTCTTGTTCAAATTTTGTACATTTTGTTTATGTCTACATTCATTTTTATGCCTTCAAGATATGTAACATTAAGTAAATAATTTTAGTTGTTATTGATGTTGTTATTGCAATACATTTTAGGGTAAAATTGTTATTTCTCTATGCTTTTCAACTGGTATTACAAAACGGAAAGTGAAACTATTTTTCCTTCTAATTATTCAATTCTGTTCTGTTACTTGATGCAGGAAAAAACAACCCACCAGACTGTGAATAACATGGGCCATCTGTCACTGAAGTACAGTCAATATAAATGGGCAAACTTACAGAGAAACTAATGCAAATGACAGTAACAATTGTTAAAGAGTTCATTTTTCATCACTAAATAAATGAAGATCGTTTTGAAGATGAATATAAGAATTTAGTGTTCTCTGTGAAAATACTCTTATCTTTATTGTGTAAATTTGGTTTATTATCTAATCTTCATTGTAATAAGTCATTATGCCTTTTATCAAATAACAATAAGTTATATTAAAATATAATTATCAGCAATCTATAACAAAACATTGTATCATAGGGCTAAATTGCTAACTTTATTTTTATTCTAAACTTGCAAGTTTTATCAAGCTGCCTTGTTAATAACAATATTCCATTCAAAGCTATCTATTTCATGTTTAATAACCAAAGCAATGCTAGTTTGAAACCCATACTGGGAGCATACTGTTCAGAATATTCTTTTCTCATTAGATGTTTTGACATATCACATGATGACCTAGTATAGTACTATATTAGGGTACCAGAATATATTTGACAACAGCTCCCCCCCCCCCCCAGTATACCTTGAATTCAATAATGTAATGACCTTACTAAACAATGATGAGGAAAGAAGTCAGTTTGATATATTTGTTACAGGCTTACGTTACTGCATGACCCAGTAAGTGAGTTATTGGTTCTGTTCGGTATCATCCCTGATTTAGTTTTCCACAGACCTGTATATCCCTGGAATCAGCCTGTATCAGACTAGTTACCAACCCTTTAACTTCAATTCCCTTTTAGGACAAATACATTCTAAAGTGAATAGGGATGTTTTTCAGCCATGTTTAGAGGAAATAAATTAGGACTAAATTGTTGAGTTTGTACTGATAACTGTACTGATAATTATATGATACATTCACACAGTTTCTAACCTATAAAACACTGACAAGAAATGGCTCAAAATAATTTGTTAAACCCTGACAAAGGCCAGTTGCACATTTAGCACTACAGCTTAGCCTACCCCCTTATTTTCTACAGTATAATTTGGACACAATTATGCCATACCAAGGGGGATAAGAATTCCTTTATACAATGATGCAATATTGGATCATACCACATTATCCCCTTTTATCTGCCCCGATTACACAGCCCTGATTATCTAAAATGTAATCCCTTTATTTAACAAGTGTCTCAAGTGTCCAGAGCCTTATCTGACCATTGTCCAGCAGTTGATCTGTAATCTGGTGGGGATAAGTAGGTTTAAACTTAAAAGCCGGCTTGATACATCTCATTCTTCAACCACAATAGTTTTTGTCAACATTAAAATTATCCCAGTGCTTGATGCAATACTGGTCCGAATAACATCTTTAACAAATAATTTTCATACAAAATGCAATATCAGTCTTAAAAACACTCGAGAGCTAAATATAGGACCAGATATAATCATCAGAGCTACAGATAAGCTTTTGAGTTAATTGGGTATTTACCCCTGGACTTGACAAGCAATTGGGTAACACAGAAACAAAATTGGGTATCATTGAAAAATTTATTGGTTTGCCTAGATTAGCATCGGTCAAAATATTGTCCAGGATCTCGGAAACAATATACACAAAGACTGTGAACAAACATTGTCTAAAAAGTTCATTTAACAAATTTTTTACAACATCTGGCTCGGTAAAATAACCAAATATTTTGTTAGACTGCATTGAAATAATTAATTTTTATCAGCCCCGTTTTGTCATTTTGTTGAAGCAGAAAGTAAATAAACCTCAGTCTGGACTGCTATTTAGTTATCTCTCATTAGTATATAAAGCTTTTCCGCAAAAAATATCTTTAATATAACCAGTCTACTCAATTGTTCCCGGTTAACAAATGGAAAACGAAAGTACAGAAAGGGAAACAGGCTATTTTCGGATTTGTTTGGCAGTTTTTGCTAGGTGAATTATGGTCCAAGATATTGAAAATACGCTAGAGTATCAAAACAAATTGGGTACTGATATTTTGATTTGCGTTTTTATTACGCAAAGATTTTAATTTATTTGGGTAAATTGGTCAAAATTATTGGGTAATTACGCAGATACGCTGCTTATCTGTAGCACTGAATCATATCAATATTATAATAATGACCAATGGTTGAAATCCTTATTAAAAAAGAGGCTCACATCCTGGTAGGACACTTAATAATATCAAAGAAAACAGCCAAGGACTAATTTGAAGATAATTAGTTATGTTTGGTCAAAACAGATTGAAAATTAGAAAAATCTACAAACAAGGATGTTGCTTTGTAGTATTTTAAATTCTAAATCCTGTTTCTGTATAAAATATGTGATGAATGATAAATCCTTTTAAGATATTGAGAGGATAATGTATCTTAATAATAGATACCACAGGGATGTGCAGTCTGACCAAGCTGTATAAATGACATAAACAGGGGGCTTTACGAGATAAAATCCATTTAAAAATTTTAACTATGATATTAATGGTAAATCATTAAGATCATAATATGTACAAAGAATTATGTATTTTTTTACATTAATAAAGTAAAGATTGATACAAAAATCTTAATAAAACTGTTTCTATTCATAAACATTGATAATGATTAAACCCCTTTACTTTTTTTTAAATTTTATATTCAATTCTCTTATTAAAGAATCCCAGTTCTAGAGTACTTCAATTTGTTATATTGCAATTCCTGTGATGTCGCCATTTCTGCCAAATTCTTAATAAAATCTCTTACATCAGATTCCTATGATTCAATGATGTTCTCACCAAAATGTTTCTCCCAGTTTCTTTCATGGATTATGACTCATAATCCTTGTTTTCAAGGTTTTTCAACAAAGTTAAGTCAGTTAGGATAAAGTTTACAAAGTAATTTATCACTACTGAGATCTCTAAAGCAAAATAAGGTTTTAGATTTGTGCCTACAAATAAAAGAGCACGATTTATAGTATCATTAGGGTGTTGGTAGTGTTGGTAGTTTACATTCCAGATCACATTGAATTGACCAGAGCACATTTCAGCCATCACATCGGATTTTTAATCCTCTGCCAAGTAATAAGCTAGTCTGACTTACCTTAGCCATTTGTGCTTGAATGCCCTGAGCTTGTAATGCCTGAACGGCTACTTCTGCTGCTTGATTTGTCTCAAAGTCTACAAACCCATAGCCTGAAATATACAAAAATATAGCTTGTTTATATTCACATTTCCATTGGCAGAGAAACATATAACCAGAATATCATAATAAAGTAAGTAAAAAGCTTCAAGAATAATTTTTGTCTGCATTTGCCTGAATGAAACAAATCCAATGCCAAAATAAGGCAAATTAGCCTTAAGGAACAGTAACACACTGCTTTAATTAAAATGCAAGCACATGTCACAAGGTAAGAAAAATGTGCAGCCTGACAGGGACTCGAACCCGAGACCCTTCCGAATACCGTACTGCGGCTCTACCGACTGAGCTATCCAGCTGCTTACACATCTTTTCCCCTAAATAGTGAACAGTTCTGAACCGTGACACAAAACCTGAATAAACAAGCATTTAGCTTGATCAAACAACAGTCCTAACAATATAATAACATGATTGATGGATAGCCTGAACAAAACAAGCATATAGCCTGAACAAAACAGGCTACAAAACAAGCATATAGTCTGAACAAAATAAGCATGTAGCCTGAATATTTCATGCATATTGCCTGAAGAACATAATCATCATCCCTGCTACACAGAAAATGTATAAATTAATATGTTCAATATGCTACATGTAAATGATTACAAAATGAATCCTCGGTCCCAGACGGAAATATATCATGTAATCCAGCACGCTGTCACAGATACTACAGCAGGAAATATGTTGTGTCTATACAAACAACACTCTAGTTGTGACAATACTCTTTTATAATAGTTTTCTTTCTTTAAGCAGAAAAACAAAACTACCTTTAAACCATATTAATTAATATAAGCCAGATTTCCGAGTTGTAGTGGAAAGAAAGACAAAAGAAAAATGTTCAAATCTGGTCAAGGTCAGTTTGAAGAACAAATTACAACTCTAAATGCCAGTCCTATCAATCACATTCAAAAGCTTAAAAATACAATAGTACATGATTACTCAAACATTCTTGTTTTTCTTGGGCATTGCGTTCATCCATTATTTCTACTGGCAGTTTTGTTTATCTAAACTGCCAAACAGAGCCTGTGAGATTGGCCACTGCCCCATCTATTATGCATACTTTTGCTAAATTATTGCTCTCACGGGAGGAATTATTATACTTATTCACCAAGTAAGATGTATTATGGTAAATTATTGTGAGGTGAAGCATACTGACTTCTGTTAAATTGTGCTATTAGTTAGTGTAACAGGCATTTTTTCCATTAATAACTTAGATCAAGTCAAAACAGAAAGTTGAATCAGTAAATGAAATTGACCACTATATAGCAATAAACATATATTCAAGTATACAAATTGCTAAATTTTATCATAAATCTTACATATAAAGGTCAATGTTGACAGAAAATTGATCAGTTAAAACAAAATTCAGGACTTGCATGAAATCCAAAATGAACATCAACTTTGCAAATTAAGGAGTATCTTTTTCTCAATACAATAATCCAAAATATCTAACCATGAAAGCAGATTAGCTTTATTAACCCTACATAAGCATGGGTGCTTCTTGAACTTAATCTAAAACCAAGTTGGAACCGAACTGATCTGGTAGCCAGTTGTCACCGGAACTGCGGCCTGGCCTTAATGATACATCCTGGTAAACGACCAGGCATCTTGATATCTCCAAAATTGATTTTGAACAGTTCTAAATATAGAAGCTGAACAAATGTTTTTTAGAAATTTAGCAGATATAATTAGGGCCAAAAGGGAAGAAATTGAAATATTCAAGATACCGGTATACTTAAAAGTTAAGGTCAATTAATCTATACATAGCTTTTGAAAGTACACTTCAGATATTTTTTTATAAAGATTTAAGAGTTCCTCTTAGCTTGACATCAATTAATATAATTATATACAATGGTAATTTCTTACATCCTAGATGGATTTTACAGCTCAATGGAGCAGTTTATAGCAATATCAACATATCTTGTTCCTTTAATTCATCAAGTTACAACAAAATAGCATCAAAACCAACAATTTCACTTCCTTTCGAAGAAAATTGAATAACAATAAAACCAGTAAAGAAAGTGGATCTATCGTACACAACAAGCTTTTATATCTATTTTTCTTTTCAATGGAATTTTTCACAATCTTTTTAAGCCTAATGGTAGCAATATGACCACAATATTCTTGTCCTTAAACAAAACTGACTTAATTCAAAATCAATTAAAAGCGAGCCTTGAATGAACTGATGACAGCAGCTGGGATTGGGATATTATCCAGTACAAAAGAGCAATTTGACCCATAAGAACAGTGCAATACAATTCAATCAAGTACTCCTTTCAAATTATGGCAATGGGACCTGTTTGATTTTCATGTGTGTGCTTTTGCATGAACGTATTTAAATCAGAATGGTCGATAAAGCCGGACCAAATTGTTTGAGATAAACATCTCCAATACAGCAGGAAAAAAAACAAGAACTGCAGAGAAAAAAAGTAGAATGGGAATGCATTCTGTATTCACAGACTCTCTGTCTTTGTAAAACAGAATTGATTTTACACAGCGTAATTGAACTTTATTACAGATGTCAAACAATAAATGTTTGGCTAGTTAGTCACGATAACTTTGTATGGACAGATTTAGCATGTGTTTCTGTTTTAATTGCCTATACTGTAGCATGATAACAAACTTTTCATCACCTATAGATATAAAAAGCAAATTATACAATTGTAAAGAAAATGGGGCCAAATGTATCAAAGGGGAGTAACTGCTTGAAACAGATACAATACATCTGATACCAAGGAAGGTAACTGCTTTTACAAAACTGAAAAGGAGCAGAGCAAATTGTGTAACAAGGATAAAATGTCTTAATTATCTTTTTAACCCATTACTTCATATACACGCCTTTTAACGCCTTTTTCACCCCCCCCCCTTTTTTGTTGTCTCAAATGGTGAAAAAATGCCTTATTTAGGCCCCCAACACTTGTTTTTGTTTGAGAAATGTTGTTAAAAAAGTGACCACTTTTTCGGCGCGGCCCCCCAACCAAAAGATACATCAGGGGGTTGCCAGAAGGGGGATGTGCCCCCTTCTGTTTGGGGGGTTTGAAGGGGGGCGGAGTCCCCCTCATCGCCAAGAAAATTTTTGGACTTGTGAGAGGCTATGAATGACCTCAGATTGATCATAAGGTAACGTGTAACCAACGCTGAAAAGCATTTGACTCTATCTCAATCCATTGAGAAGTTGCAGCACTTTGAAATCAATTATGATGGAAAAAATCAACGCAAAATAGTGATTTTTGGCAATTTTGAGATGTCCCCTCGTTGCCATGGTAACAGAAAATTTAAGCCTGAGCATGTTGTTGCAAGGGCAATGGTCCAGTCAACATTTGTGCCAAGTTTGATTAGTGTTGAAGCAGTTTTTATAGTATTATAGCAATTTGAACTTGTAACGGGAGACTTTTCAATGAAAACAGCCATTTTTCGCAAAATGCTCATGAAGTAATGGGTTAATGAAAAAAATAAAAAAATCTACAAAACAACAATTTTTCTTCAAATTTATATGACAGACCATGTTTAAACATGGAAAAACGCGATTTAGGGTAATTTCAAGTATTTTCATCATTTTCTGTTAACCCATTACTTCATATACACGCCTTTTAACGCCTTTTTCACCCCCCCCCCTTTTTTGTTGTCTCAAATGGTGAAAAAATGCCTTATTTAGGCCCCCAACACTTGTTTTTGTTTGAGAAATGTTGTTAAAAAAGTGACCACTTTTTCGGCGCGGCCCCCCAACCAAAAGATACATCAGGGGGTTGCCAGAAGGGGGATGTGCCCCCTTCTGTTTGGGGGGTTTGAAGGGGGGCGGAGTCCCCCTCATCGCCAAGAAAATTTTTGGACTTGTGAGAGGCTATGAATGACCTCAGATTGATCATAAGGTAACGTGTAACCAACGCTGAAAAGCATTTGACTCTATCTCAATCCATTGAGAAGTTGCAGCACTTTGAAATCAATTATGATGGAAAAAATCAACGCAAAATAGTGATTTTTGGCAATTTTGAGATGTCCCCTCGTTGCCATGGTAACAGAAAATTTAAGCCTGAGCATGTTGTTGCAAGGGCAATAGTCCAGTCAACATTTGTGCCAAGTTTGATTAGTGTTGAAGCAGTTTTTATAGTATTATAGCAATTTGAACTTGTAACGGGAGACTTTTCAATGAAAACAGCCATTTTTCACAAAATGCTCATGAAGTAATGGGTTAATGAAAAAAATAAAAAAATCTACAAAACAACAATTTTTCTTCAAATTTATATGACAGACCATGTTTAAACATGGAAAAACGCGATTTAGGGTAATTTCAAGTATTTTCATCATTTTCTGTTAACCCATTACTTCATATACACGCCTTTTAACGCCCTTTTCACCCCCTTTTTATTTTTGTCTCAAATGGTGAAAAATGCCTTATTTAGGCTCACAACACTTGTTTTGTTTTTTGTTTGAGAAATGTTGTTTAAAAAAGTGACCACTTTTTCGGTGCGGCCCCCGTACCAAAAGATACATCAGGGGTTGCCAGAAGGGGGGATGCGCCCCTTCTGTTTGGGGGGCGGGTTGAAGGGGGCGACAGTCCATCTCATCGCAAAGAAAATTTTGTGAGAGGCTAAACATAACCCAAGATCGATCAAAAGGTAACGTGTAACTAACGCTGAAAAGCATTTGACTCTATCTCAATCCATATAGAAGTTGCAAATCAATTTTGAAATCAATTTTGATGGAAAAAATCCACGCAAAATAGGGATTTTTGAGATGTCCCTTCGTTGCTATGGTAACCGGAAATTTGTAACTGGGCATGTTGTTGCAAGGGCAATGGTCCAGTCAACATTTGTGCCAAGTTTGATTAGTGTTGAAGCAGTTTTTATAGTTTTATAGCAATTTGAACTTGTAACGGGAGACTTTTCAATGAAAACAGCCATTTTTCGCAAAATGCTCATGAAGTAATGGGTTAAGAAGAGAAATCAATCATTCATAATATATAATATTTTAAAATAGTTTCACTTTCTTTTACAAATATGAATTAAAGCAAGAATGTCTTTTAATGGTACAACTTCAAAATTTGGAAAAAAGTGACAATTTAAAGAGATAGACATGAAAAAAAAATCTACGATTTTTCTATTTTGATTAAGATTACAAGTCATATTCTTCTTAGCTTTAATTAAATGTTCGGCTTCAAAGAACGATGGGTATAGTGGGGAAGATTTTAAGATTGATCAAAAGTTTTAAGTATTCTGATCGTATGTATTGATTTGCATTAACCAGTTGGAGCGAGGCAAAACTTTGTTGAAATATGCTGAGCCGAGAAACATTTCTTTGTAAATGTCTCCTTTAAAATATCCATGCTGCCGATATAAATAACTATTTATATGTAAATTTCAAAATGATATTCCGCTCAGAGAATTTATCTATTCCCATTGAAGAAATGATCTAAAGATCTGCTTGATTAATCAAGCAAACATTTCATTAAAGAGTGCTAAATGGCAGTATCATTATAAAGTTTTCTAATTTTCGTGAAAATTGTCAACCTATGGGATCGTCGTTACACGCTTCATTTAACCAAACAAGAGAAAATTAGGTATTCCTAATGTGTTTGCCTGAATCCCAGTATTACACAGGGATAATAATATTGGTTATTTAAATACACTAATTCACGCTAAACTGTAAAATTTAAGGTATCATATAACCTAATTCTTAACAGAAATATCCATCATATCATTATTTTCATATAAAAGAACAATAACATTTAAGTAGAAACAACATTGTTGAAGTTTTCTGGGTGGAACATAATCATCTTTACCAATATTTTCGGCCATGATCAAGCTACTTCACCTGCTTAGCTTCCATTTTCATTTTGGGACTTATGGATATTATGAAAAATTTAAACTAGCCAACAGTGTACTGCCTGGTCAGAATTAATAGATGCGCAGGCCGCCTGGATCTGCACTAGTGGCAAAGGCTTATCACTTTTGATTTTAGCAGTGTATAACGGTAAATAAATTTTCTGTTTGATTCTGTACCAGTATTAAAATTTTCCCTCCACAAGTAACTGTCAACTTCTTGTGATTTAGACTTCTGTCATGTTGAGCCAAATGCACATTTGTACATACTTTGTAAAACGGAAATAAGAGAGAGGAAAATGTACAATCTAGAGACATCTTTGCTAACTTCCTCATTTCCCGGCAGTCTAAAATTATTTCAGACATAAAGGCCTCTTGTGCTATTGATCAAATTTAGAATCAAGTCAATGCCACTTATAACATCGATCAATTTATAAACTTGTCTTTATTCTTCCCTGAAAAAAAACTCAAACACAAAGCAACAAGCTTTTCCTGTCCCAAACCTAATAATATTGGAGAGTATGCCATTATTGACTTACATGATAAAATCAAGTCTTTTATATTAAGACAGCTTTTACACAGCAGATTAATGTATCTAAATAGTATATAGGCTTATAGTGAAATATTCTCATATAAATGTTTTCTTTTTTTATCTCATTTCAAAATTTCTAAAACCCCAGAGAATTGTTCTATGATCAAGCAATTCATTCAATAAATATCCAGTACAATTAATGTAACACCATGATGCAAAACAAGTCCTTTTTTGTTTAAATCATCTTGAAATACAGATTTTGATAGCTTCCTTTACATCACCCAAACATTTCAAAGTACTTTTAGCTGATAAAATCAAAGGTAATTCAATGGGACAACAAATTTACTTCTTATATTCCTTAACAAGAACAGATTTTTTTCTCTATAAAGTGCAAAAAGTTCAGGGATTATGTTCATAGCATAAGGTTATATGAGAAATAAGAGTTGCAGGAAATGAGGTGAACATGTTTGCCTTAAAGGTCTACTATACACAGCCAGGTTAGAGAGAATTTAGTTTCCATTTGCTTTGTATTGATGTTTGATGATACAAAACTCTCTGGTAAAAATGGACAGTGCTATACTAAACATGGCTAAAATTAGTTCCGTTAATGGCAAAGTAACACGCAAATTTCAATACCTAGAGAATTGTCTATTTAGTTCCGAGATAAATGATGAAACGCTGCTCAGTTGTTGCTTGTTTTACAGAATCAGTAAAAAATGTGCATCAAGAAAGATGGGACCAATTTTCAAAACTTTGAAAATTTATCAGGAATCAGTAATGGTTTTTCTATCCTGAATTGAAAAGTAAATCTGCATATCATTTTCAAATTTCTACGATCTCTGGGATCTTTTAGGATTGCATCTATTCTTTGCATGAATTCTTGGGAGAAATGTGCAATACAATTCAATCAATGAATCCTTTATAAATCTATTGGGTTCATTTAAGTATATGCCATTTAAATGAACTCTCAACCCCTGAAATTGAGTCATGGCAAGTAGAAAAGGTGGTCTTTACAAACAGGTGGTCAAGCAAAGCACTATTGTTATGCTTTTATTTTGCTCTGAAGGTTATATCTAATGGTAATATAAATGTCAGCTTGGTTTTCTTATGTTTTTTTCCCCCTATTGATTTGATCTTTAGCACAGGATGTACATGCAAATTAATCAGGCTATATAATAGAGAACATAATTCTGTAAAAATGATTTGTAATCAATTGTTCTGGTACGGCCAAGATACTTAATTGTTTCCTTAGCAATATCATCTGTCGTTCCTATTTAGATCCATGGCATCGTAAACCCTTCATTGATTTCCCATTTCTGGATGAAATATCTTGGACCAGCTTAAAACATACACAAATCACCGAGAAGAAGGACCTTGTTGAATTGATAAGAAATCTATATTTTAGTTGTACAAGTATCCCAAAGACAATCTCCAGGGACTATTTTGTCTATCTCAAGTAATTAGGCTCATGAATATTCATGGCTTCCAGAGAGGAAAACAATGCTGAATATGCGTAGACTAAAGAAGACTTTAGTTACTGTATTCGCAGGCAATAAATGACATGTGTGATAACATAGCTTGACTGGTACAGTTTGAAATAAGTCTAATACAGCCAGACACAAAGATTCATGTCTGCAGAAAACAACTAGTAAATCATATTTTACAGGAAAGATAAATTTACATCAGAACTAAAGTCTACAAGACATTGAGATGACGTTAGTTGCAAGCTTTAATACCAGATGATTGTATCTCCTTTCTTGTATCATGGAAGTTTGGATATTTTCATGCAAATTTCATATACATTGTACCTGCAGCAACTGCCCCTAAAGCCAATTCCCCCCCCCCCTCATTATGTTACACATCAAAAGTTACAGTTATAATTTAAGTGCTATGAACATTTTGTCATCTTTTGTGTGACAACTATTGTACAAATTGTATAGCACTGTTAACACTAAATGCAGATTGATTATTCAATGTAAACAATGGTAAAAAAAAGTCTGTCAAATTATGTAACCAAATTTTTCATAGATATTATAAGTGCATATAATTAACTTTCAGAAAAACTTACATTTAATGTTTACTGTCTTCTTTGAGTTTAACCTCTTGTTGTTCTTTATTTGAAACCTGTTGTTTTTTAATATCCTTATATCATCAGCTTAATGCAGTAATTGGTTAACTCCTTATAAATCAAATCATGAGATAACCTGTTATTGCACTAAGGTAATGATATATCATTTTAGCTGATGTACGCAATTCCTGATTTTAACTTGGCTATAAATCTAGCATACAGTCAGACCATTCCGTATTTTATTCATGCAGCCAAGCCCTTTTAGATATTAGCTACTTTATGTTAGCTTTTTTTGACATTAAAATCAATCCCAGAAAATTAGGAATTCAAAAAGGACCTAATGCTTTTCACAAATTAATTAGAGAAAAGGCTAGGTTACTATAGTCTAAAGTTCCTCAAAAAAAGATTTTTGTACCAATGATTTTCTCCTCCTCAACATAAATCTGGACGGATAATCCACATAAATAGTCAATGTAAGAATCAAATGTTTGTGAAAGGTTTACAGAGTAAATTGTCTTAAGTATGACATAATATATCAGAGAGAAACAATACAAAATCCCCCAAGAGAAAACTTGTCCTGTCTAGGAGGGAATTTATGGTGTAAAATTTCAGGAAGTGTTAACCCCGCAGTGCTTGACAAAATTCTTCCTAATACAGTCTGGGAAGAAAACTCTTGACCTTTAAGACGATAGCTGGAAAATCCCTTAAAAGTAAATTATATATTTGCTATTAAGGACCAACCATTTGTCATTCTTTGGGTTCTTTCAGATTTTACTTCAGAAAATGAAAATTAATTAACAAGTAATCTTTACCTTTGCATTTGTTTGTGGTTTGGTCTACTATGGCTTTTGTTGAAATGATTTTACCATATCTGAAAATAGAATAGAACAACATATATATAAATCATTCAGAAACCAAGAAAAAAGCTGCAAATACACACTTGAAAGGTTTAAAGTTGGTTATAAGGTTTCCAGGTACCAGAATATTGAACAATCTGTCAGTAGTTTCTTGATAACATGATAAAAATAATTCAACTTTGATTGAATAATTCTGTATTCTCCCATCTTACAGGATAATTTGTTTGATAATAAAATTTTAACTGCTTGCTTCAATAGGCCATTTTCGTATGTTTTGTAGTCAGTCTGTGACTCTAGTCAAGCTATGTTTTGTAGTCAGTATGTGACCCTAGTCAAGCTATGTTTTGTAGTCAGTCTGTGACTCTAGTCAAGCTATGTTTTGTAGTCAGTCTGTGACTCTAGTCAAGCTATGTTTTGTAGTCAGTCTGTGACTCTAGTCAAGCTATGTTTTGTAGTCAGTCTGTGACTCTAGTCAAGCTTTCAGTTGGTACCAAATATTCTGACTTAGGTCTCTAAAGTTTCTCAGCCTCCTTGGCACAAAGTCAAACCAACTAATATTATAACTTTTGACTATTATCACAAGTTATCAAAAACACGCAGGGTTACTTTTTTGGACAAATTAAAATTCTTAAATCAAAACTGTCACTTTAAAAGTTTCTTATAGAAATCAGAGAATATTTACTTCTGAAAAGTCTGAGAGCTTTCTAAAATACAAGTCTGCCTACATTGCCAAGGTGTTAATAAAATTGATAGAGAAATATTTTATGGGCACCATGGGTAAAGTGAAATAATTCTGTCTGTTCATTTTGTTGGGGAGATTTCCATGTCAACATTCAATTACAGATAACATGATCCTCCGAAAATACAAAGTGCTCAAATATAAAGTGAGATCAAATTCCTCACTTCATGTTTTTTCTTGTGGTTTAAGGAGGTCTGATTTTAAGAAAAAGATATTTGAAGGAAAGTCCATGAATCCCAAAGAGTGGCCTTACTTCAAAACTAAACATGCTTTCTTTGTTATAAAGATTATGCAACTTATGTCACAGTAATGAATTCAAGCATTGACCAAAAGACTATGCCAATACATAGAACTGCCACTGTCTCAATTTATGTAAATGTTATTCAATAGGAAGAATTACCAAAAAGGTAGATTTATGCCAATAGGTACTTTTGCCAATAGATACCTTTTACAATATGTCACTTCAATTTTGGTGGAACCATAGAGCCTAAAGCTTTTTGTAGCCATCATTACTTCTGGAATGTTCAACATTCAATTCAGAATGAAACTTGACAGTATTTAAGTTACACTTTATGTAAACATTGTTAGGAGAAAATTTTCACTAGAATTAATACTGTGTGAGAAAATAATAGGTTATTTTTTGTTTTGAAGAGGAAATTGGAAATCCCGTAAGATTTCGCTGGTGCCATTAGAATTTCTCTAAATCAGCTAATGAAATTGATTTAAAACTGGTTGAAATAAACTGTAATTTAGTGAATTGCATACTGAGAAATATGTTCAAGTGTTGTACAGAAATACAAAATGTGTTTTTAATCATTTTGCTACAGAAGGAAAGAATGAAAATGTAGGTTTGTCTTTATTCGTAAAAACAACAACAATTTATTGTGTTGGTAGTTTACTGACTTTCAATAAACTTGGCTTTACCCTTGCCAAAAATGAACAAAACTTAAAAATCAGCTATAGCATACCCCACTGGTTATATCATGACCTACCCAACTTAACATTTTATAATGAATTGGCTTAAAAATCAACTTTTGATGAAATGAATACCTGACCATGATTACCTAATCTATGTAATAATATGCCTTTTTTATATACATGTAATTGTCAAAGTAGTTACCAGACTGCACAGATTCATTCACAATCACTTTTTAAACAGGAACTCATATGGTACCAATTAACTATAAGTATTGGTGTTTTGGTTTTTTGTCTAATTTATGAAAAAGTTTAGCACAGTTTTGTACATTAACTGAACCAGGAAGAGTAAATTGATGCTTATAGTTAAGTATATTTGACACTTTTTTTAATATATCATTATTATTTGTCTATATTTGGTTAATAACCAAAGAATTGTAGTGAAATTGCATCAAAGATAAGTGTTATGACATAATTTCTCTTGTACAGGGAAGTTCACTTAAGATTATGTGCTTAACCCATTATGTAGTAGATAAATATATTCAGCTATTGTTTTGTTTTGCCCTTTTATTTCCTGTTTGGAACTCAATTTGACCAAATTGCTGGCAGTCTTAGGCTGATATCAAAAGTAATGCTATTAATGCTGTTTCCTTTATTTTGCGTTGACAAAAACCTAACAACACCCTTATAATGCATGTGCCATAAAGTAGATATATTTCTTAATAAAATTATATTGTCTGGAATGATGTGTTTCATTTCTTGTTTTCAACTTCTGTTAACAAAAGCTTTAAATAAAAGCTTTATCTTTAAATAAAAGCTTTAGCTTTATCTTGAATCATTGATTTACATAAATAACTTAATTTTACATAGATCAGGGAAATCGTATACAAAAGAGATAGAAATTTAAAACAGAGAAAGGTTCATGTATGCATATTCATCCCTTGTTTATGATTTTCCTGCGGCAGATAATTACCCTATTTGCATAAATACACAGTCTGCATGAGGCCTATCATTGGGTTAATATAATGCCATTTAGCTTCAAATTATTGCTTAGGGTTCTTTTCATGGGAGATTTCAGCTATTTACTAGAAAAGGCAATAAATACAATAGCTCTCATAACCGCCATAAAATATTCAGACCTGTCTGAAGAAACTTGACAATAATCATTTTTCAGTCAATAGTGGGCTTCAGGTGCATAAATTTCTGGCATATACAGCAACTCGACTCTCTGTTTAACAAAAATAGCTCATTCTGTAATTAATCATTTTATTCTATTTTCAAGTATTGGTCGATAATTCTTTTCTTTTTTCCTCAGTAGTTTTGTTTGCAAAGGTCCTGCAAGAGTGTGACCGCTTGCAAAGTTAATAAACTTGAGATGATGAAATGGTGGCGACTGACCAATAAATAAATTCTTGTCTGGTTGTTGGGACATTTTTATGAAAATACATGTTTGGTATATCAAAAATGTCATTCTTTGTTTTATATAAAAATGTCATTCTTCTTTTTATGTAAAAAACAAAAATGAAAGTAATTGACTTTTTATTGATTCTCATGTATAATGTACTTAAACTAGTATTTCCTTACTAACTCATTAGACCTACAAAAAACCCCATTTCATTTATTACAGTAGAAAATAATAATCATTCCGATCTATCATAAATTATTAATGATATTTTAAGTACAAAACTGAAATAATTTAACAGTCAGGTTTCTTTGAAGGAAACATCAAAGATATTCATTAAATAAGTCAAATGTCGTGGTGAAATGCAATATTCATTGCTTTAAAGTTGACAATTTTCATTGAAACATGAGCATTACTTCAAAAGGGTGTCATTTCTTCAGCCCTCGGTCATCAAATCGTAGTTTGGCTGCATTTTCAAAGGCTTCACTTAAACGTTGTTCTAAACATTTTATTTCAGTTTTATGATATCATTAATGACAATTGTTTCACATCGTAGCCACACAGTGTTTTCAAGATGAAGAAAATTTTTAATATTATTTTTACTAAAGCCTTCCCATATTATTACAATACTTGTTAAAACAGCTGAAATTTTTTTCGCTTTTTAAACAAAATCAATTCCTCACTAAATAAATTTAAGTACTTTTGAATAAACCCTTCTTAACTTTTACAACACCATCCAATACCAAACAAGGAATGAAAATGGCATGTCAATTAAATATGCGGTTAAACCGCTATTTTCTGTGTCACATTCCTCCATTGCCGGGTTTGTTTAGATATTTAAAAGTACAGTCAAGATACCAAAAATGGTCGCAATATCTTACACAGGTATGTAGGAGTTCTATATCATCCTTTAACTATGAAGATTAATCTATGACACTCAGGTGGGGCGATGTCTGTCCTTCATTAATGAAGAAACAGTTATATGTAAATCTGTATTTTTTTATTTTTTTATTTCAAGTTTTGCCCACCATAAAAAAGGATGTGGTTTTTATCAATCCTTCAAGCCCACATTAATTTTTTGTTAAAAAAGTTTATGGGAACTCTTATATTCTTCTGCCCTTTCAAATTATGTTGTTATTTTACTGTTACATCAATCAAGGTGCGAATTTAAATATTTGTTTTATTTTAACCCTAGTTTAACAGTAGTTGCAATCATTAAACTTAAGGTGGAGGGAGGAGGGACTTACTGGTATAGGCAAGTTAAAAGTTTACCATGAATAAACCCTGTAAAAGATTTAAAGGCAACAAATGACATAATAAATCTTGCATTCTGTGTGTCGTTTGCAGGACAGCTTTAGAAAACCACACATTTAAATTAAACTAGTAATTTTTATAAAAATCTGAATCAGCCCCCGCAATTTATCAAACCATTTAAGTACCTTTAGCACAGCCTATGATCTTCAGAAGGGAAAAAAAAACATGTCCGTAACAAGTAGGATTATAAAAAAGATAAATCTTTGAGTATATAAGAAGGGGTGTTGGCTCTATTAAAGAAAAACAACTTAAAACAAGAGATTTGAAATTGAGCAGCAACAACGCCCGTGTTAGCTGAAATCTCGTTTTAACTCTTAAACTTGCTGAACTTAAAGCCCACGTATATTGACACTGTAATTGCCGCATTAAGGACGCCAGCAATTTTGACTGTTTGAAATATTTGACATAAATTATCATTTTCGTTCATGACAAAATGAACTTAAAATAAATAATTCAAAACCATTTGCAATGAGAGGTTAAATAATAATTACACTATTAAATTAAACTTCAATTTAGCAGAAATATTTTCAATTCATTTTTTCTTTAACAATGTGTGGATAATAACATTTAATGGCAGAATTATGATAGCATTTTTATTTCTTAACTTAACCCTTCCAGTCCTACTGGCAATAATAGTAAAAACTTATACTAGTCAGGATGTAAAGAGGACTAATGTTGGTGAGCCACAACCAAACCCTGTGCCACAGCCACTGATAGCTTTAACATAAAAATTGCATTATATCAACAATTTCTTATCAAAGTGGCTTCTTTAATTTATGAATCAATCAGGCAGTTCTGCAATTCTCCCATATTGAAATGTCCATAAAAGATCCGGAAAGAAAAAAACAACATCCAAAATAAACATTATGCCATTATTTCATGTTTGCAGAAGCTTTAAAAATTTGTCTGCCTATAGAGATATCCCCTTCTCATGCCTTTATTTTAGTATGGCTCCAAGAATTATCAGGGATGATTGTTGAGCAAAGTGAATCAATATAGAAAATGGTATTCAACAGGGGGATCCTAACAGCTGGGCTTAAATGGATGTCTCCATGAATTGATTAAAGGTTTACAGGCTAAATTGAATTTATCAAAAGAGCACAGGAAGTTTTCTGGCATTGTTTCTCGGAATATTTTTCAAATAGATTACAATAAGCAGGATGAATCTCGGAATAGAACTTCACAAAATAAATGATAATGGTTTTACAAATAGAAAACAAGAATAACACACAAACAGGAACATGATTACCCATTCAAAACTAATCTTGTTACAGAGCAGTTTTTACTATTCTAAAAACATCCCACATACTGCATTTTGAACATAAGGTAAGGTAGGCAACAAGGAAATGTTACTTATTATTAATAATTATCTGGAACATAAAGGATTTAAATGACCAATAATTATTGCAGTCTAAATGACTTTGAATTATACCATTAAGTAAAATATGCCTTCAGCAGCCTATTTTTGAATTCATCATTATACATGAACTATGCTTTTTATTTGATAGTGCATTTATAATATGTAATTTCCTACAAATATAAGTTTAGAGCTGAATTTCCTTCTCCATTATCAATCAAAATGTATAAGAAAATAACCAGAACTGTCATGATTCCGGCAGATTTATTTATGAATGGAAAATACAGATATCTGGAAAATATATATCGATCATTGATATGTACTGACAGCAGGCTCCTATGTCATCCTGACATTCTGGGATGGTTTTATTCTTTAAAAGTTATTTTTTCACCTATTTTAAAGCATTTTTATCCACAGAATAATTGATACAGATTTAATGCTGAGTATCATCTTCAAAGTCAATTAACCTGAACTGTTTACATACAGGAAGCACTAATCACTGAGGGATCCTGGGTACTATCACCCTTCACAGGAAGTAGTTATCCCCATGGAAACACAAATGTATTCTGGGATTACCTGTGAACTTCAGCTCACCAGGACAGGACTTTTTGGAGATAAGATGTAATATTTTTGTTTCTAAAGGAGAAGAAACGTCATTAATAAACGTCACCTGCAGAATATCATACTTTGAACTTAGAAAAAATAGATTAATTTTAATGAATGAAGCAAAGTTCTAAAGCAGAGAGATAAACAGTCGCATGTTATCTAGATGTACATGCTGGACAGGAAACTATATCAAAATGTGTTATCAATCGTATTTAATCATTTGAAGATTACTTTAAATGATGTTTCACATGATTTTGACCTGCTGTTGATAAATGTTTTTGCAAGTTTTAACTAATCAGAGTTGAAAAATCTGGAGGAAGAAACATCATGTTAAATAAGGCATTATTACGGAACTATCTGCAGTCCTTTTTAATGTCAGTACAGAAAGCCCCAACAGAGATGGTTAATTTTAAACAAATGCTTTGATGTAGCATTCTAAGTCATTGATGAGTAGTCAGCCATTAGTGTGTATGGTGTTAAGAAAACCCAAAAAGAAACATATGATGAAAGCATTGGGGTGGTATAATATAGACGGCAGTGACACATTGAGTACATGACTAAGACGGGACTGTTTTATGTCTAATATACACCCACACTGTTTCAAAATAATAACAGTTTCTATACTGTATGTTTCAACCATCTTGAAATAAAAATGTAATCATTTGAATTTTGAGAAGTTTCTCAAGGACATATCTTGGGGATCTTAAAATAGATACCTATGGGCATTTTTACGATATAATTTATGCATTAAGATTGTGTCTAAATGGAATCCTTTCATACTGATGACAGTGATGATGAATGTATTCTCATTCATAACTGTGTGGCTGACCTTACGAGAGAAGATGAAGAGTCTTGACTCATGCTGGGCCAGCCAGACATAAGGATTCCGGGAGACATGTTTTTTACCGGTATACATATATATATTATACCTTTACTGATATAAATCTGTATCTCTACCAAAAACCTGTATCTTTTTTTATTTAACTGAATATATCTGTTTAGGGAATGAGATAACATCTTTATATCAGTGGACGTGATGCTGTGTATTTATGTATACTTCGGAATATATCATATCATAGATGCAGAACATGATAGTCAACTTAAAACAGTCTTGAAAATGTTTCTTTATGTATAAAGATTGCTTTTAATATACTAATTCATCTCATGTTGAAGCAGGTGTATAACAACCCTCATGTCTTTGTAATGATATAAAGATAAGCTTAAAGGCTTAAACCTCTTGAGGCTGAAAACTTGAAATAGCAGCCAACCATAGTTTGGTTTTATTTGGTTCTACATTCACATAAATCACCTGCTAGTTTACTCTAATCATTGTAAAGATATTAGGGTTCCTTAGACAAGCCATTTCATTAAAACCAGTCTATTTTAATGAGACAATTATAAATACTATACAATTAAGTACCCTCACCAGAATGTAACTTTAAATATGATTATGAAACTAATTCAATAATGAGCTCAAATAAATTAATATGCAAATTGAGTATCAATGAGATACTTACATTAAAGAATGCTCATAATAATGGAATATTGTATAAAGAAGCTCGAACCTGTGGCCTCCTGTATGAGAGGCTGATGCTCTTACCACAATTAGAGCCAATATTACGGACAGAAAAGCAGAGAAACTTTACTTACGGAGTACATAAGTTAACAAGATCTTTATCTGTGGTGTTTGGATTGAGTCCCCGTATATATAGATTTGTCTTACTAAGCTGCTCTGCGCCCGATTGGCTACCCCCACTTGACTGGGATGTGTTTGGACTTGCGGCCGGCATGCTGCGCGGTGTGTATGTCTGAAAACAAAAAGAAAATAACATTCATATAAATACTGTTGTAGAAATTTGCTTTTTGTCAAAAGAATATTTCCATATCTATAGTCTCACAAAAGAAAATATGTCCAATTTACTACCTCCATAAAAACAATCAATGTTTTCACATCATATTATAACATTACCTGACAATCAACAATGTTTAAATCATTAAAACTCATCGTAAGCTTTACCGATTCAAGTATGTATCACACTTTTACAAGAGTTATTACACAAATATAAAACAAAAACGACTATACTCAATGCTGATTAATGAATTATCCTCATTGCGCAATATCTTTTATATTTTTAACGATCACAAGTCGGAATTCTTTATATAAAATCCCACTGTAACAGTGTATGAATATGAGTCATGTCTTTATAACAAGTGTTTTCCGATAGTTAGAATCCTGTATCTTTAAATGGCATATATTATACACTACGTTATAAACAGAAATATATAAATATATATACCAGCTTACAGCCATCATAAATATTAATTTATTTTCATTTCAATTAAATTTTTTTCTCTTCTGATTTAATTTCCTCAATATAATATCATTCTACCATCAATAATCAATACCAAGAATCCCAAGCAATCTAATTATGTTATATATATATAAACAACTTTCCATTTTCCAAAAATTTATATCCTATAAAATTTATATACAAAATTTATTCTGTAAGTCATACCATAAGCATATCTAAAAGCAAGTTCTCCATTTAAGTCTAGAATAAATATCCAATAACAGAACTTGTTTTGTTTTTTTTTTGTCCTAAAGTAAAATCTCGGTAAACTGTAATGTCTCGACTACACTTTTCTTTAAACCATAACACTTTGTTATTTTGTCTTATTCATTTGGACAGGATCTTCATGAACCACATTAACTTGACAGCAGCTATTTTTTATGTTTTTAAGTTGAGTCTGGCTGTTGACAATTTTCTGCCCGAGGGGTCGAGCAGAGCGAGGTTTTACGACAGTAAGCAACACCCTTGTTATTGATGACTCTCGACCCCTACTTTGACAATGGACAACAACAATAATTGAAACGCATATACACAAACTTGATTCAAAACATTTCTTATTTGAATAATGGCCCAGCTAAAACGTCTTGTTTCAATTTCATTCAAGTCTTGTTTCAATTTCATTCACGTTGAATCGAATGTAGCTTAAGTGATTATAGAGTGGCGTGTAAGTTACATATAAATGAGCACAATACTGATTGCATTACAAACATCTTGACTCCATGACCGAGAACATTTAACTTAAATCTCAAACAAATAGTTACTTCTTGAAACATAGATATACAGTAGAATGTATGTTACAAAACTACAAATACTTCGCTACATATATGCATTTATGTATATATTATTACACACAGGAAACTATCAAATGTGTATGTAACCTACTTATCTTCAAATAAAAGAAACTTTAAATTTGTGAATAAAAAAAATGAACAAGATGAAACCGTACCTTCTTGTGCTTGTTAAAAAAAATCCTTGACTATATATGTATATATATATACTTCTCACAGGTTAAAAACTGCCAATTAAAATCCAATATATATTTATATATATTTATCCTTGCACTTATCTAAAACTTAATGTGTTCTTCCAAGTTAATTTGTGTTCCAAATATATTCAAATTAGCTAAAAACAAAAAAAAAACACTATCACTTAGAAACGTTTGAGGATTAATTCATTGACATATATCAGAGAATGTATGAATATAAAATGTGGGTAAAATGTGTGCATCTATTTCCTATCATGTACTTATCTATACTAGGGTAAAGCTACAGACCTATGCAAATTTACTTTTCTACTTTAGTATAGAAATATTTGATTATATATGGCTGTCCCACCTTCATACATTAAACACTACAACCCTAATCTGTGCTGATTAAATTTGAACGTCAGCGAGGGTTGACCATGAAGTTCAAACATCAAAATGATTCCAATCTACATTTGTATATGATAGAACTACAAATTATGAGACATTAATACCAGTGAAAATTTGATCATTTAATTTTTGTCATTCTTTAAAAAAAAAAATTATAATAATAATAATAATTCAATAATGAAACATTAATTTGATCTTCAATATAACATTAAACCTCAAGTCATTTGTGAAAGTGTCAGGTTATTAAGGACCTTTATTTTCAAGTATAAATGCAATATTCTAATCAGTTATACATACTGATTTAGCTCAGAAATGGTGATGTTGAACACAATGTTTCGGAAAAAAAAAATTCTTTGCTGTTTTAAAAGGAATTTATATAACACCCCTCATTTTTGATATAGATGAAAACATTTCAAAACTTCTATACATGTTTGATCAAGTTGGATTTGACTATGGTCATAAAATAACACAAACACTTAATTTGAAAATAAATCACTGTAGATTTATGGTTTAACTGAACAAAAATGGTTAAATATTCGATAAAAATCAACTACGTAAAAACTTAACGGCCATAAAAATAGTAAACATAACATTTTAAACTGACGGTTTTATGCATTATGCATTTCAATTTTGACATTTAAAATTTCTTAATTTACGAGGTTGACATCTATATCTCTGAAGAAACAGGGCCACTTTTTGCTTTATGAAAACTGTTTTTATACTTAAAATGTTTGAAAGTAAAGATCAAATAAACAATGTATTTCCCTATGTATGTCAAGTGAAAATCAATGCAAAACATTTAAACTTTTTTTTATTAAACAATATTTAACAGTTGTCAATTCTTGTAGTTAATGACCAAACATTTTGCAAAGAGCATTTTGATTTTCACAATAAAAAATACACCACTCTTACACAGTATAATAATTAACATGGTTTTCAATTTCAGAATCTATTATTGAATGTAATATGAGTTAGGAAATTGATTATAAATAACAGGATATGCATGTGTGATGGTCTAATGGTTTTACAGACTCAGAAAAGTGCTAGTATGAGTGTTTGTATGTCACCCAAACTGGGGATAATAGGTTTGAGTACCAAAATACACTGAACATTTTTTTTATTGTATATACAATTTGCCAACTATAAGTGTGTTGAAAAATCTATCCGTTTATATCTTAAGTATGATTTCTCTGATGAAACATTAAGTTAATGCCTGGATTTTTATTTTTTCCATTAACCAGAAAACAAGGCTATTATTTATGTAAAAATGACAGGCCCTAATCCCCTGCCCCTTTTATTTGGTAGAAAGAATAACATGTCCATCAACGTGACTACAGCAGCGGGTTGTCACATGGGTTTCACAGCAGTTTGACAATAGCCTCGGATATTAGTAGTAAACAATACAGTAGAGAAGCAGTTATTAACACATTTGCCACAACAATTTGACACAGGAATGCTTGGGGACATTTTCCATATATCATATATGTGTCATTTTTATACGACCTTTGCTTAAATAGGTCAAAATCTTGCCAATGAAATGATTGATGGATGATAGTTGTAAAATAAAGGCTATAATGCTGCCACCCTGATTGTAATGTTAATATTAAATGAAGGATCATTAAAATACTGGCATATGATTCAATCAGTAATGAAAGAAATTAAAAAAGTTTAAAAACAAATTGCATATAACATATTCTTAAAAGTTGCTTCGCATTAAAATAACTTGCTACAAATAGTTATTCAAGGTAAAATTAACAATACCTTAAAATAATATCATAAATGGACTTTTTGACAAAGCCATTCATAATTTTTTGGGGAAAATTTCAAAATTTGTAGTGATTGAATTAAGCAAACACAGTACAGACTATGATCAGATGCAGATGACACAGATAATACCCGCAGATCTTGGTCTGCACTGGTCGCATGGGTGGAATCAGTTGCTGCCAACAGGCTAACGGTTAATAATTTCAAAAAAAAAATTGTTTTATGTTTGCAATTTATTTTCACACCACCATAAAACACAAACTGTTGCACTTTTAATAAATATCTTCAATATGCTACCAGCAAGTATTCCATTCAAACAAAATTTAAGGCAGTTTTGAAAGTTTTAAGCCTTCTCGTAAAATACACAAAGTTATCCAAAATGCTCCTTGCAATCAGTAAAAACCCTATAAAATCTAAAAGAAGAAACAAATCTGCAAATCTGCTTTTACTGATAAATCCTAGTGAGGTAATTAAATCTATGCGATAACAGCTCCGTATTGAATGTTAATAGAATTTATGGCTGAAATGCATTACTTTAAAACCTTGTCAAAACAATAGATAGCTGACAAAACAATAGTAAACAACTATCTGAAAAAGCTATCAGGTTTCTGTTCGTTTTTTGTAAAAGAAATACTATCCTCAAAAGATTACAATAATTTTGTAATTGTTCTACAATACCTAAAATATTTGATTGAATTTTTTTTCTCAACAATTCGGAAAATATTGTGAATTAGCTATCTATAAAGATATTTAGAATAACTTAGCCTACGACTTTTTTGTTTTCGTTGAGTTTTAAGTCACGCAAACATAATATAAAGTTTGTTTGGCAGATTTTTGCAATGAACCGAGTTCTGCTTTGCATCCAGCACTCAAAAATATTGAAACCATTAAAATAGATAAGGAAATAGAATCTCAAATCTGCCATGCATGTGCTGAAATTCTAATTTAATAGGGTCTTAGACATAATTGTAATTGCAATTAGAATTATTTATTACATGCTTTTCGGTGGTTTATAGAAATATATCAGTGATATAAAACTGGTAATTTCACTGTTTGAAACAGTGAAATTACCACTTTGATAATTTCACTGTTTTGAATTTAAGCCCCTTACATTGTTTCAGTGAAATACCAGCGTGCACAGTACTGGGTACCAACTTAATGACGTGACGTCGTAAATGACGTCACGTTGTATTATTATTTGGCGCGCTTTTCATTCAGTATATAGATTTAATGTCTTTTTAAAACGTTTATTTGCATATAATAAAAAGAAAATTTGTTTAGTTTAGTGTAAGATCGAAATATATTTCACCTTGTGAACACC